TAATGCATCTATCTCCGTAGGACCTATCTCAAAAATACCATGCATTGTAAAGTTAAAGAGGCATGCAGAGGTCGAGCATTTTGCACAACCCAGTCACTGCTTTCAATAATACTGACAAGCGGTAGAACACCTCCATTCTACTTGATAATTTACCGTATATCAACAGACTTTTCAAGCACACCACATACTAACACCCTATTCTAAAGTACAGTGAAGAGATGAAAAGCTATTGCATAGAAGTGCTAGGTATCACCGAGGAATCTGCAGATGGAATACAAGTGAACTCAACAAACTGTCAACTACAGAGTCAATAATCTACTCCCACATTCTCACACCAGAACGACAAACACCTGCACAGCACACTGAGTTCTCGAGTGGCTATCATGATGTCACCAACACCATCAAAGACTCTCTCTCATTCAGGGGGAGCCAATCCCCTCCAACATCAGGATCACGATCATGACAACAAGACTCAACTCAAAAGGAAGGAAAGTCACAATCATACAATGCTACACTACTCTACACTACACTACACTATACACCGACAAATAATCCAAATCATCAAGAGAACAAGGAGGAATTCTACACACAACTACAATCAGTACTCAACAACACAACACACCACACCACACCACACCAGGTGGCAACATCAACATTCATTCTAATCCATGGGTTGACATGAATGCCAAACTGTGAGAGGACAACACACACGAAGACAACTCATCATGGGTAGAGAAGCACTCGGGGAAATGATGAACGAGAATGGGGAACTCTCTCTGCAGACTTCTGCACACTCAACCATCTGGTCATTGGAGGCAGGCACTGTGTTCAAACACAAGGATATTCACAAGGCGAGCGACATGGATTCGATTTCACCAGACACCAGGACACACTACACTAAAAATCAGGTCGACTTCATCTCAGTGTGAAGAAAGTGGAGATGGAGACGCAGCCTGCTGGACAAAAGACCAGATCAAGAATGGGGAGCAGAAAGCAAAGTCATGAATGACACAAAGTTAATCGAAGCCAGGGAGGCAGCACAACCACTGGAAACAGACGCACAGACAACAACGGACATACTCACACCACCATTCCACAAGGTTTGCAAGCAAGGAAGGAAACGCACCTGCCCACTGATTGGAAGAAGGCCTACCTTCTCAAACTACCAAAAAAGGGAGACCCAAATCTTCACAAGAACTGCCACGAAATCATGTTCCACACCTGTCCACCACAAGCAAAATATTATCCCGCATCATTCTGGAGGACTATACAACACTCTGCACTCAAAATTATGACAGCAACAGGCTGACTAACTGACTGACTTCAGGAAGAACAAATCATGTGTGGATCAAACTCCAACGCTACGATACACATCATCATAGAACACAGCATACAATGCCAGTCAAGTCTCCACCTTACCCCAAACTCATCGATTTGGAAATGGTCTTCAACAGAGTCGACCGACAAGTAATTTAACAGGCAGCTGCTGCTTCAACACTACGGCTTCAGTGCCACAAACCTCTATCAACCTCAGTCAACAGCTAGGTGATGACGACGACACATGCCAAGTGATTGACAGTGGCAAGCTCAGTGACGCCTTCGAAGTGAAGTGTAGATCGGAGTAAGACAAGGCTGACACCCACTATCAACGATCATCTTCCTCATTGTCGTCAACTACACTCGACTAGACTCGACTCGACCCGACTGCATCATGCAGCAAACTGTGAGGAGCTGTGAGAAGACGGGCATACGCTGACTGGACAGATGAAAAGACTCCAGAAGAAGATTTGGATTTCACCGCCGATGATGATTTGTGTATGTCTAATGTCTTGTCGCACAAACTCGAAGATCTACAAGCGAAAACTAACAAGTTGACAGAAGTGGTGAGGCAGCGGAGATGGGACTTCCTTCAGATGAACGTAGAGAAGACAGGTGATGAAGACACCTCCCAACCGACAACAACAACCACAACGAGCACCAATAGCCATCAACCGGAGAAACATAAACAAAGTCACCTCTTTCACCTACTTACCCAGCCAACATCGTTTCAACTACAGGCGACACAGGCACAGATGAGGACATCAAAGCACCCAGGATCGCAAAGACAACAAGACAGCTCTTCATTGATCTCAAATCAGTGTGGAGATCTACTCCACCTCACTGCACTGCATTGCTCTGCACTGCACTCAGCATAAAACGGGAACAACATCCCAATTCTCAACACTAATTCAGTCAAGTAAGTCAGTACCTCCATCTGATGGTTGACAGACTTGACGGCGCGTCACGAAAAGCATTTCCAACAAACTACACACATACTACATCACATCATCAGCTGTCGTCTACGCTCACTCGACAGACACTGACACTGACACTGAAGATCGGATCAGATGGCCAGAATAATAAGAGTAAGCAACAGGGAACTCACTCTGGCTGGCAACGAACCAATGAAGCAAGAACCCATCGCCCAACAGATATGCAGAAGAAAGTGGAGATTGATCGGATCGGATTGGATAACCTTTGAGAAGACTATTCGGGGACATCACACGTCAGGCCAGTCCCTCGAGTAGAATGCAAAGGGGAAACGAGGAGTTGGGTTTCCGAGGGTGACATGGAGGAGATGGTGTGAGGAGGAAATGAAAGGTTGAGGGCAGTAGTGGAGCCATGTTTAAAATACTGCAGAGAACAGAGTGAAGTGAAGATGTGATACTGAAGCTCTATGTCCCACTAGGAAGCCACAGGAAAAATAATAATAAAAATCCAGAGGTAGCGACTTTTCTGAATACACCCACATCATAAGTAGGGAATAACAATATTGCTTTACAGAAAAAGGATACCAGTTAACATGTTGGTAACGACTGTGCCAGAAGTTCGTATTGGTTAGAAGCCTGTGATTTATATTATTTAACCTGTAGCTTAAAAATCCTCTTAAACGACTGTCTTTTGGACCTGGATATCAGGGCTACGTATTTCAGTCCCCAGCTACCACAACAATACTTGTTGAGTGAAATTGATCAGTTAACCGAGGTTACAAGTCTTGATTTCGTATATGTTTACATCAATGTGCACTTCTAGATTTAAGTGATTCTGTGAAGTAAATTATCTTGGACCCACTGTGTCGGTTTTGTTATAAAATGCTAGAGTACCTGTTTGGTTGAAATAGAGATTTTTAAAACATGTTGCTCTTTGAATAAATCTAAATAAGGCATTTAGAAGATGAATACTGTAAATTTATATCAACTAGTAGTTGTTTCTCTACAGTTGCATAACAACTGATATAGTTTACGAGACAAATGTTTCACTAATATTTTGCAGCTATATTGAATAAGAGGATATGTTGATAACCAATCATTATTATAGGTCCAATAGCCCATGTTAGACGAAGAGTTACATCCACTGCAAAAATAAACGGCATTGGATTCCTATGTATATTGAGAACACTTGAATTAACCATATGATCCAATGGAATCGGAACATTTTGAGACTTTATAAATGTAATGATGGCTAAAGTTAGCTGGATGTTTAATAGTTGGCAATGGGAGGTAGTGTTCTTAATGTTACGTAGTGAATAGTGGCATAGAAAGTGTATTCGACAGTCGATCGAAGAATTTGATCTATCGACTGCATAATCTGGTCATTCTTAAATAGGTAGATTAATGAAGACAAACCTTTTTGTCATAGTAATTTTCTATTGACATAAATTACATTTTCCCAGCTACCCACCATTCTGAGAAAGTGAATATATGCACAGCATTTCACTATTCAGTGTGACTAGCTCTTGAGAATAAACATCTGCTCTTCTCATTCAGATACAAATACAGTTAGCAGAAGCTCAAAAAAACTATCATAGAAACATCAATTCATCTGTAAACTTTGTTCTAGAACAGAAATTTAAAGTTATGAACGCAATATAATGGGTTCCTGAACACAAACAACCAGTAATAGTCAAAAAATACCTATATTTGTATATTCACTGGTAAAATCCACTACTTCACGTAACACAACATTTGTAAACAGAAACTTCACATCAAAAGAGCATACAACTTAATTTTTAATGTGTATTTGTAAAGAGTATTAACGATTTCAAATTCACTTTTAATAATGTAAGTTAACTGGATTGAGAATTTCTGTAAAGCACTTAGAGAATTTATAGTACCAAGAGTTTGAAATATCTAGGATGGGGGTCTCCAAAGTTGTGGGTTTACGGTAGACTATACAACTGCAGTGTATGAGTCGTAACCGGTTTAAAACGTTTATAAAGTACTTCATTTATAAATTCATGAATTAATAAGACTTGAAACGATTTACCTGGTTTTTAATACGCAGAACATTGGTCGGTACAGCTGTCCATTTAACTTTGGCTTGATACTTAGAGCAAGGGAGAAAGACTCACTAGCTGCATACAATCACTCCTCATGGACACCGGTCACATAATGGGCAAAAAACCCTTTTTGGTGACTCTCAAGATAGCTAACTATCCATCTCAGACAGCAAGAACCCCTCTGCTATTGCCATTCATACAATAAAGCTGGAACTTTGTGTGCATGGGTTCCATAGCTCTGCCATGACCCTTCATTTAACTTGGGATTACTTCCACTAGTTTTTTCAACTGATTCGCGATGACCCTTTTAGTGTTAACCATACACTCATTTTTAACTTGTATTTGAGCATAATGTTCACGAGTTTTTATTACGCTTTTGATTCTTTCAATTCACTTACTGTTCTAACTCTAATGAGTGATCTACGTCTCTTAATCTCCTTACCCATTAACTCTCCCATCTCTTGTAAAATTATTTGTTCCACAATTTCCAGTCTTAAAATTAATCAACTGTACACACAACTGAAGCTCCAAATTTTGATATCCACTTGAAACTTGAACAAAAGTAGGTATCTGTCCAGGTTTTCAATGTGTACAATTCTTTTCAAACAGAAATCTGGAAACGTAACAAAGCTTGTCCGTGGATACCGTCCACTAACAGTGTAGGAAATGACAAGACGGAGATGAAGGAAGGAATGTTTATTATTGACATCTTGTACAGTAGTCATCAAATATTGTGCACCTTCCACTAAGACAGTCATTTGTACAATGTGCTTCATTTCTTCTTCTGCTTCTAGCTTGATTTGCTCTTAATACGCCCACATTGTCTCTTGCGTTCCTCTAGGCAGAATCTTCACCCATTACTGGTAATTCCCTATGATTTCTGCCGCCCTCTCAACATACACTGCTTATAACCATTGTGATCAGCAGCGCCCACTACAACAGTACGAAGCCTAATGCCGAAACTTTACCCTAAAATAAACCAACACAAAATGACTGGAAAACGTAATGGGATTGGAAGAGGTATATAAGCTTCGATCTAGCAATCCCATTTCTGTGAAAGGGTTTTGAGACTAAAATGAATGTCTCAAAATATTTAGTGACAACTACTGACTTGTTAAAGATGAAAGTGATTTATAACTACAGAAATTCCGTTAAGCATACTGTTTTCACCATCGACATTTCCAGAAAACGAGAAATCGTGTATGACATATATGATACAATAATGTTTTGCAGTTTGAATAACCAACAATCGTTATGTTATCGCTAGGTGAGGTGAATGGTGAAACACTTAGTTTACTCTTTCAGATTGGGCATCGAAAGAATAAGGTTACAATGGTACGAAAATATGACAGAAATTCATCAAATAACGTAAAGCTACTGAAAGAGTGGTTAAAGAGTTGGGATTCAAATGATACCACTAACACTAGCTGAAATGCTCATTGACCAGTAACCCACCATAGTAGTATAAATTTTGTATTCCAATGTTCGTGATTAATAGGTACTATCAAATGCAAAACAGTGGACTTGCCGGCAAAACAAAGGTTAATCAACCTCAAGAAAATTATCTAAAGAGGTACTGTCAGTTTAAGACAAACTTTTATCCCGCAATACACCAAACTATATTTATCCAAGGTGAAGATTAGGTTAAAAAGAGAAGTATAAACTGTACAAAGTATCTTCACATAAAACAAATGTACTTGTCCCCCATATAATAAAACAAGACAATTATTGCAAAACAAAACAGTGAGTTTATCACTTTAATTATCACAACATAATAATGTGATCCTCTTACAAAATTAAACAGCCCCGAAAGAAACAGAACAGTGACAATGTGAGGAGTATCTTGAAGAAAATATACAAAGGAAATAATTGACTTCATCTTATACATAAACAGATCACCTTCATAGATGGAATAAAAATCACCAAAACAAATTTTCAGGCTTAGGAAGTTGAAAACAGAGAAGATATTTGACTAAACGATTTGTACTCAGCTCCACTATTGGACCATCACCATAACAATTCAGGTGACTAGAGAAGGTAGGCAAAACTCTGAAGCAGTCTCCAAAGAAATGTTCGAATAAAACAAAATATAATATAATAAATAGAAACAAAGCTATTAACAAGTATTTTATGGATGGTTTTCTGCTAATCCAGGCTACAAAATATGATGAACTCTCACATTCAATATCTGAAGGAGGTGAAGAGATAAGTGGAAAATACGAACATGAATTACTAGCCTCAGCAAGAAAACACTTGTCATCTATACACGGATCGTGACCATTAACATACATACCGTTGGATCTAATATCTTCCTGTGTAGTGAATGAATCATGTGAATAAATTAACTCCTGGTTACCAGCAGTAAGTGACACTTCTTTTGTCTTCAGTATAATTGAATTAGGCTGCGTCATCATTGCTGATTCCAAATCACGAATTGCACTTAAAATTTGTTGACGAAGTGAAGAAGATAATTGTATTAATTTGGTAATTGAACAATTTGGTATGTTTATTGTCGATGCTTCGCTGTTCACACTATATAGACTTTGGTCACAGTGTTGTGTGAAAATGTTGGAATGACAAGAAAATTTCAAGAAATCATCGAATAAGTAGCATGAACCCAAGTGCGACTGAATATTCCATAGGTTTTCATTCAAATTCTAGAGAATAGTATTTTTTTGAAGAAAAAGTTAATTAGCATTTCTACCGAAAACATACTGAATCTATGTAACAATGAAAATAATAACTCAATACTTTCCCGAACTAATGTGTAATTGCAAACATATCACTCTGGACATCTTTGCTACAGAATTCAATAAAGTAGTGTTACAGTAAAAACTAAGTACTATTGAACAGTTAACTGATTAACTTTCCCAATAATTCGCTAGTCAATAATTTTAGATAAATGTTCGCTAACAGAATGGAAATCACCAAGTGAAAAGTAATGTGAGGCCGAGCAATTCAACCCAGTATGGCGATTTGAAATTAAAAGTATCTATAAACAACAAGTGATATCCGTTGCATAAGAGGTGTCTTTCGTGCCCCAGTGGCCTAGTGAGTAGTGCTTTGGCATTTGAAGGGACAGGTAATGGGTTAGAGTCACGGTAGTAACAACATCACTCTTCGAGGTCCAGTTGATGAGTCCCAAATAGGACGAAACGCGTGTCCTCGATTTCACTGCAGCGTAATGTGTAGGACATTAAATTTGAGGATTTTCAGCTTTCCCAATTGCAGAATAAGGGAGGATATCTCCTTCATTATCAATTATGCTCCGTATTTGTAATCTATTAACCACGACCGGATAAATTGGTTGCTGAAAAAAAATCCGGTCTGAATGCACAAAATTGATTTATTATTCACACAAACTGAAACCAACGCTAGTCCTGGTGAAATTCCACTTTCCTTATAATAAGAGCTATGCATACAGATGGCAGTAGGATTTCCTCATCTATGCTATTATGAAATACTCTAAGTAAATACCAATGAAATAAGGTTACGAGAAATTGATCAGTAGTACAGCTGTATTGTTATCTACGTGTGACCGAATGAAAATGTGAACGTTTTCTAATTGATAATCAGGATTTCAGACGCTGAAAACAAACCATTTAATGAGCTTCTTAACCTCCATCATTACCATATAACTGACAAAATCAACGTAGAACATTCCACATAGGTGCATCAAGCTCAAGTTGCTACAATTTATAGAAGTACACAAAGAATACAGGTAGAAAACGAGTGATATCAAAGTAGACATAGTATGAGAGAATAAATAATCTGATTTCGTCTATGATCTAATAATAAATACCACTACACCACTATCTTATCTAACTTAAATCTTGGGTTACATTTCTATTTTACAATCCGCTACTTTTGTTACTCTCTTTATGATGCAAAAATGAGTTCCAAGTTAAATAAATAAACTACAAAACTACTTTTGATTAAAGTAACCAGGCAGCTGCAATTCTCTATAAACCCTAAAATCTGTTGTCTTCTTCAGTAGTAGCAATCATCGTTTGTGAGATATATCTGTTTGTCTACACTAATAACTGAAAATATTCACGACATCTAGAAAAGGTAGGGTTATTGATAAAAAAACAATAATAAAAGCAGAATTTAAAGTATATTGACTAAACTACTTACACGTAATTCTTCCAAAGTATTTAGTACTTGACTAGAAGATTGCGTTGAAGAGAAGGGAAGATATGAATGAATTTCATTTGAGCGATCCTTAATGTCATTGTCAGTATCGACAGCAGATGATGTGAACTTATGATAAGACTCTAAATACAGTTTGATTGTTTCATGCGCCCTTTGAATAGCCGTGTGCACACGTTGTTTCATTGCCAACAATGATAAATTGGCGTCGTGACTTTCACCAGCCAAGTGGTCAAACACTGACGTACGCCAATCTAAAATCCAAAACGCTATTGTATGTCTGCGACAAGAAAGAGGAAAAAATCACAAAAATGTAAATTTTATGGAATATATGCATGGAAAACTAGAAAAAGTGAATACTCTTCGAACGATCACTGTCGCTGGACCAATGATTCAGATTTTTTTGATTATCTTACTAATGGAATATGATCGAAATCTTGCTACATCGTCGTCAATAAAACTGACTGGATTATTAGAGTGGTTTTAAACTTGACACCAACGACTTAATAGATCAGATATTTTGCCACTTGTTAGAAAACGAAGAGCAGTTCAGTGAAGAGGCTCATTTAGGCGACTTCCTTCTTAACATTCATCATCATCATCAAGATGGTACATGACCGTATATCTCAATGAAGTCAGTTTGCTTTTGGATGCATCAATAAAATGCACATTAGTATTGGATTCATAAAGTAGCTATGTGCTGCTGTTTTCTGATGGCACTCTGACTGTCGATTCGCTAGTTAAATGAGGAATAAACATTGCACTTCACTAAGATAAACATACTAATTAGTCTATTGGATTTATATTCTTTAGATTAGCAAAATGAAAGATATGTAGTCCGTTAAAAGAGAACGTAGTGGCTTTCAATGATCAGACTTTTGGAATGCGTTTGTCGCCACATAAATGTAAATTGTTGCTCCAGAAATGGTGTACTTTGATGCCTTGTATCAGAAAAAGGAATGAAGCAGTTGAGTGCGTTGAACATTTCACTTACCTATGAAGGTGAATCAGAGCCGCTGCACCAGTGACAAACGAAATCTCAGCACCCATACAAAACGCTCGATTACATTTGACCAAATTACACCCTTCATAGCACCAACATGATATCCGACTACCTACAACGCGTCAAGTGTATTACATCGTATTTCGACCTGGCCTACTACGTGACTACACAACATGGACATTACAGGTGAGAAAGATGGAAAGGCTCCGATTTTCCTATCGCCATTATCTTCATAGCATAGGTCATGTGTGGTGGTGTCACCATGTCAATAACGCAGAAGTTAGGCGTAGAGTTTTACGCAAAGAGGGTTGAATCGGTTGATGAGGTTATAGACTTTCATCGGCTCAGTTAGCAGGAGTATGTGTAACTCATGGCTAGTTACCCTATATCCCATCGAAGTGTTAGATAAAGTAAGTCTAGGCTAGTTAAAAGTAAAAAGTGTTAAGAATACAAAGTAGCATCAGTTTATTAGGTCTGATTGTTGATGTGAGTCGTGTAGGGAAATATACACTTCCCGGTTCGGGTCCACATAACAAAAACCAGGTCTTAGTAACTCTAGGCAATGTAGTTCAGAATTGATCTAAATGGCACAGACTTATCCACATATTATGTTTGTCTTAATCGTCAAAGTGAATTTCAGTATTCCCTGCTTCTCCTTGTTATCTTTACGCGACTTTCTACTATTTTCGACTATCTTCTTTCCTATTGCCCTACTTTCGATCTTGATGTCTTCTACATTGATTTGTTGGCGACAAGTGTGACAACTACGCAGCTATTCCAGTTGTCATGTTGATATTGACTGATTGGTTGAAATTAATATGACAGACTGGTAGATAAATAGATATGGTGGTGCAGCGGGGTTTAGAAATAAATATTCTTCTGATCCTAGCTAGTTACTAACTTCTAATATATTCACATTCAATGTTATTTTGCACTGCTCTAACAAATAATTCAAGCATGGAGTATGAGACTGGTGTTTAAGTGAAAAATAAAAAGTCAGCTGAAATGCAATCGAATAAAATTATGCACTAAGTAACCGAGTATTTTAGTTTGAGTGCAAACCAAAATAACAATTCAGACTAAACATGGTTCGTAAAAATTGTATCTTAAATGTAGTCCGAAAACTAGACATTCATGTGTGTGCAGAGAAGATTATCAACTGCTTAGTGAGAAATATTCACAATGGTAATGAAAAGTCAGAATAAAATTGATTTTACGTGGTTCCTCTAAACTAGGTGAATAAGAACACTGATTAAAATCGAATGCACAAAAATTTATCATGATAATCACATACGTAATAATATAAGCCATCCGAGACATAAATAAAAACCATAATCCTTCTCATACGTCAGATAGAATATCTTAATCAATTTTGACTAAATGATTCAAGCAGTATGCAATGTGATTTCGTAATGCAAAGACTAGATTCGCGATAATGAAGGAAAATTAAAAAACGAAATCGAACTCATAAGAGTAAGTAGAGATTATGAAATAAGAGTGAGCGTGAGGCTTAAAATGACGTTTAACGTCTAGAAAAGGTTGGTAGGTTAACAAATACGCCACGATAGTAAAAGGACAAGCGCTAAGTGATGCTTGTGTCAACTATTCAAAAGAGGTGACATGGAACGTAAAACGTTTCCTATGCAATTCAGATCAACGCTAACGATAGTGTCAAGCGATGGTATGTCAGACTCTACAGAAGTTGAGAGCTTTATCCATACCACCAACAGTAGAAATGGATGGTAATGGAACATGAATATTTCCGTGTAGTGGAAACGACTGATAGAAAAACCCCAATTAGCTAGCAATTAGCGGTGTGATAACACCACCAAGTGAAATAGTTCACTAGCCGGCCCTAAGCCAAGATAAACAGGGAAGGTTGACATATCGCTAGCAACCCTACCACGGAAAACTAATTCACTCCCTAAACAAACTTCTAAGCACAAAAAAAGTATAACAAATAAAAACAATTATTCTTTGCTGGAATTGACGAGACGAAAAGACGCAAGTTGGTGAAAGACTTCAGAAAGCCAACTGGCAGACGCATCTTCCCTTCTCTCGATGAAAGCAAAAGTAAACATAGGCACATAAAATGTCCACACCATGTTTCAACATGGCTGCCTGGCAAGGCTGCCCACATTCCAGAAGAGATGAAAAGTTATTGCATAGAAGTGCTAGGAATCACCGAGGAATCTGCAGATGGAATGCAAGTGAACTCAACAAACTGTCAACTACAGAGTCAATAATCTACTCCCACATTCTCACACCAAAACGACAAACACCTGCACAGCACACTGAGTTCTCGAGTGGCTATCATGATGTCACCAACACCATCAAAGACTCTCTCTCATTCAGGGGGAGCCAATCCCCTCCAACATCAGGATCACGATCATGACAACAAGACTCAACTCAAAAGGAAGGAAAGTCACAATCATACAATGCTACACTACTCTACACTACACTACACTATACACCGACAAATAATCCAAATCATCAAGAGAACAAGGAGGAATTCTACACACAACTACAATCAGTACTCAACAACAAACCACACCACACCACACCACACCAGGTGGCAACATCAACATTCATTCTAATCCGTGGGGTGACATGAATGCCAAACTGTGAGAGGACAACACACACGAAGACAACTCATCATGGGTACAGAAGCACTCGGGGAAATGATGAACGAGAATGGGGAACTCTCTCTGCAGACTTCTGCACACTCAACCATCTGGTCATTGGAGGCAGGCACTGTGTTCAAACACAAGGATATTCACAAGGCGAGCGACATGGATTCGATTTCACCAGACACCAGGACACACTACACTAAAAATCAGGTCGACTTCATCTCAGTGTGAAGAAAGTGGAGATGGAGACGCAGCAGCCTACTGGACACAACATCAGATGAAGAATGGGGGGCAGATTTAGGTGGTTCACACCACTCACTATCTAGTCCAAGGAACCTACCTTCAAAATCAAGTTGAAAGCATTCAATTCAAGGAGGTTGGTGATGATAGACCACACTTCAAGTTTAAGTTCAACACCCAGAACAGGGGCTGCATTGAAGGATGAAACTACGAAGGATATCTTCACATCAGCCAGTCATCAGGACAACATGGGAGACATTGAGCATCATCCTCGAGGAAACCTGTGTGGAAGAACACTGGAACTCTCTCTCTCAAAGAGATGTGGAAGGAAACAAGACAAGACGAGGAATGGATCTCCACAGACACATGGAAGCTGATAGAGGAGAGAGAGGAAGAGGGTGGTGGTGAAGCAGAAGATGAATCAGTGCAGTGCAGGGATGAACAAGCAAAAGAACTGAGCACAACATATTGAACACTACACTGGACAAAAAGTGAAAAACAGTAGACGGAAACACAAAAGACACTTCTACGACTCACTTGCAAGTGAGGCAGAACAAGCTCCTGGTAGGAGGTAGGAGAGATCTGACAACGTTATATCAAATAACCAGGTTACTATCTACGAGGGAAGAGATCAACGCAGATGAAACCAATGAAAGATAGTGAAGGAAACCTAGTTAGCAAGGAGGAGAAACAAAGGAGACAATATGCTGACCACTTCGAAAAACTCTTCAATTGACAAACACCACCACCATAACCAACTGCAACTCCACAAGAAATACCACCAACAACCCACTCACAGAACAACCAGGGAACACAAACCCTCCAACAAAAGCAGAAACCGAAGTCATGAATGACACAAAGTTAATCGAAGCCAGGGAAGCAGCACAACCACTGGAAACAGACGCACAGACAACAACGGACATACTCACACCACCATTCCACAAGGTTTGCAAGCAAGGAAGGAAACGCACCTGCCCACTGATTGGAAGAAGGCCTACCTTCTCAAACTACCAAAAAAGGGAGACCCAAATCTTCACAAGAACTGCCACGAAATCATGTTCCACACCTGTCCACCACAAGCAAAATATTATCCCGCATCATTCTGGAGGACTATACAACACTCTGCACTCAAAATTATGACAGCAACAGGCTGACTAACTGACTGACTTCAGGAAGAACAAATCATGTGTGGATCAAACTCCAACGCTACGATACACATCATCATAGAACACAGCATACAATGCCAGTCAAGTCTCCACCTTACCCCAAACTCATCGATTTGGAAATGGTCTTCAACAGAGTCGACCGACAAGTAATTTAACAGGCAGCTGCTGCTTCAACACTACGGCTTCAGTGCCACAAACCTCTATCAACCTCAGTCAACAGCTAGGTGATGACGACGACACATGCCAAGTGATTGACAGTGGCAAGCTCAGTGACGCCTTCGAAGTGAAGTGTAGATCGGAGTAAGACAAGGCTGACACCCACTATCAACGATCATCTTCCTCATTGTCGTCAACTACACTCGACTAGACTCGACTCGACCCGACTGCATCATGCAGCAAACTGTGAGGAGCTGTGAGAAGACGGGCATACGCTGACTGGACAGATGAAAAGACTCCAGAAGAAGATTTGGATTTCACCGCCGATGATGATTTGTGTATGTCTAATGTCTTGTCGCACAAACTCGAAGATCTACAAGCGAAAACTAACAAGTTGACAGAAGTGGTGAGGCAGCGGAGATGGGACTTCCTTCAGATGAACGTAGAGAAGACAGGTGATGAAGACACCTCCCAACCGACAACAACAACCACAACGAGCACCAATAGCCATCAACCGGAGAAACATAAACAAAGTCACCTCTTTCACCTACTTACCCAGCCAACATCGTTTCAACTACAGGCGACACAGGCACAGATGAGGACATCAAAGCACCCAGGATCGCAAAGACAACAAGACAGCTCTTCATTGATCTCAAATCAGTGTGGAGATCTACTCCACCTCACTGCACTGCATTGCTCTGCACTGCACTCAGCATAAAACGGGAACAACATCCCAATTCTCAACACTAATTCAGTCAAGTAAGTCAGTACCTCCATCTGATGGTTGACAGACTTGACGGCGCGTCACGAAAAGCATTTCCAACAAACTACACACATACTACATCACATCATCAGCTGTCGTCTACGCTCACTCGACAGACACTGACACTGACACTGAAGATCGGATCAGATGGCCAGAATAATAAGAGTAAGCAACAGGGAACTCACTCTGGCTGGCAACGAACCAATGAAGCAAGAACCCATCGCCCAACAGATATGCAGAAGAAAGTGGAGATTGATCGGATCGGATTGGATAACCTTTGAGAAGACCATTCGGGGACATCACACGTCAGGCCAGTCCCTCGAGTAGAATGCAAAGCGGAAACGAATGAAATGGTAGCGTACTACTGAAGCCTATGTCCACTAGGAAGCCAAGGAAGAAATAATAATAAATAGCGAGTGTGATGATTGTATGAGTACACCTACCTCATAATAGCACATGTTGCACCAAAGGAAAATAAAGTGTTATAAAGATATGGAAGGAGTATTAATATTCATTGAGATGCTGACTGTCCAACTAATTCCTACTTGCGATGGAATTCGCATCCTGAATTCTGTTTCCAATCATAAGAAAACATTAACGTTATGCGAGCAATGACAACACTGATAAAGTCCGTTAGATCGACAACACAAGGAAAACCAATTGTTTTACAACATATTTCAAAATTACCTTGCTTTTAGAGCCGATAACCAATCATTAAATGTATCTAGAGCAACAGATAGAGAACTTTTTAATTGAGTCTTAGAGTTTGCTTCATCAGGTGACGGATAATCTATGAATATTTGAGAGCGTAATCTATCAACTGTATCCGTCCATTGAGTAAGACGCTTATCAAAATGCTATGCAAGCAAAAATAAAACGAAATATTAGTGTAAATACACTTTTTTAAGAACAAAATGTGGACAACAATTACATACATAAATTTGGGATAACTTGGACGAATGAAATAGGGTTAATCTTCTGTAATTTTGATACAGTATAGATTTTTATTATCATTATTATTGTTAAACACTTGTCAAATTAGTGTAGCTGATTAATGCAGAAAAGCAATGGTGAAAAACAAAATTAGCATTTTAGATCGTTATTGATCACCGAAATGGATTCATGATCACTTTAGCTCCGAATTTGGACAGGAAGTTAACACAATACATAACTTGATGTATCTATAAGTTTGGTATGAGTTTGCTTCAAATCGCATGACGAATGACTCCGGTTTATTTCACAGAAACCCTAGCCAAGTCTTCATAGTATCCATATACAATAATTACTGTCTCATGGAGTACATATTGCAGCAAATTATATACATATAAGCGTATAAGTTGCCCTTCCAAATACAAAACTCACAACCTGAAACCTCTGTAGAGGATATGATATCATTCACTGCTAAATAAGTCACAATAGGTCACACCTCTAAGCGCTATCATATCCGTACGAAGAAAATATGAGTTTCAAATCATGCATTTTACACCAACAATTATTTAATACACCAAATAATATAGCATCTATTTGATGTAAAACTAAAAAATATTTAGTCATTTTACTCAATATCTATTCTTCACTTGAGAACATTAAAAAAAAATACCATCAAAGAACCATGAATCGAATAATTCACATTTTCAATCGTACATCCGAAAGTATTTACATATACATTTGTACTAATTACAAGTGTTATTCAGGGTTCATGTCTTTATGCTCACGAAAAAACATACCAATCCGTAAAATTCATTTACAAAATAGATCTAACGCTCTGGTAAACAAACTAAGCAGATAGGGAATTTTACTTATGTTTTGTTAGAGGTCTTTCCAAAAAACTTAATACACAATTCCAACCACACTGTTTTCCTTTGAAAACTGAATTGAATGAGTGCTGACGGATCTGACACAATGTGTCCAATCACTTCACTACAATTACCGATAGAAGTATGAATGACTTAAACAGACTTTCTGTCAGTAGTTATTCCAATGTGTAGTTAGATAACTAGATAGTTCTAAGAAGTAAAAGAAATTTAATTCCACTGTTACTTCTACAAGTCACAAGTATTTCTGCCAACGTTCACTAAAGACTTTCTTTTCTCAATCAAATAAAATTAATATCATTCAAACATTTCAATAGTGCATAAAACATACAAACAACCTAATAAATTTGTACCTTCCTTCACTAATTAAATGTCATTTAATATGAAGAGGTACTGTACTGAAATGAGCGCCTATTTACAAAATAAGGGAATACCTGAAGATAACTTCTATCAATATCCAACTGTCGACGTTCATCTTCAAATTTTGATGAGCATTGACTTTCATATGTTTTGACAAATTTTGAATCCAGTAATCCAGTTACTGAACTTTCTTCTAAACGTGATAATAGTCCGATAAGTGGCAGAGCATCCGAACGTATTGATGCAAGGAGCGTGAATAAATCACTTTCACACATTGGTGAGCTATTAGGTGTACTACCTATTAAAGGGGATATAATTAATAAAATGGTTCTTCAGTCAACACGGATAAGCTTGAAATATATATATATATATATATATATATATATATATATATATATTACTAGGATAAACTGGAAGAGCAAACGATGGTACAACCGGCATAGCTACCTAGAGAAAAAGCATGAAATGAACTTCAGTGTATCACTTGTGAACTGCTTCTGACCAAGATCTATTTTAGTGGAACGAGTCGATACACTCGAGAGAGAAAGTTTAAAGAGAATTTGCTATTACTGAATTGTTCCTACACAGAGTGGTGATACTCCAAAGTTAACCATAAGATACAGAAAACAATAAGAACTTAACTTTCAACAACCGAGAATTCAGCTCTTATTCAACTTGATTTTAAGAGGCAAGATTAAAAAAAGGGGCACTAAAAACTTTCTAGTTGTTCTTAGGGCAGCTAGTATGGAGTGAAATTGAAAGAAGACACCTTATGATTTTCTAAGAATATTCTGAAAGAGCCCTACAATTCGGAAAAAATAAATCTCTTACACGCATAGTCACCAGACACTTACGCATACAGGAGTCTTTCAAAACAATCATTACACATATAACATCATGTTTACTCCGATTCTCAGAGGCCACTGCAATAACATATATCACGACCTGATTATTATGCTATGATTTGCAACAATACGACTGCTTTTGATTCAGAATTTAGTAGTACAAATAAATAGATAAGGACTTCACCAAATCTGAGTAACAACATCGAGATGAAAGTGCTCGGACAAATGGAATTCATTCCATCTACATCATAAGAACTGTATGTACAATACAACAGATTCGGCAGAATTATGATGACATGGGGGGTAAACGAAATGAATACCATATTATAAGATAATAGAAAAGCTAATTTGAGGCGAAAGTAGACAGTGGATTGGGGATAGATAAAAAAAGAGTAAACTTAGAAAAGTGCCAACAACTTAATTTAGTTGAGGAATTACAATATCCTCATTGTTCTTGAGACAGAAGAATAGCATGATCAACCATATAACACCGTCGTAATCGGGTACTGATTTCCCTGCCTCAATCTTTATCCTTATTTCCTCGTTAGTTTTTTACTTACAGTTAAATCCATTCTCCGACTTCTTGGTCTATGCCATCAACTACGTAGTACTTTACTCATAACTTCAAGTAGAATTCACCGTGTAGTTAACCTCTTCTTTTTCTTCAAAAACCTATCACATATCATGCACAAAACTTTCATCTGGTTCTTTTTCTCTTGTTTTGTCAGTTACATTTTCTTGATACATCATTGTACTATGCTTTGAACTCCTCGTTTGTAAGAATACTTAGAGTAGGTCACCTATCTACTCATTATTTTTTAGGCGAATATGCGGAGATTCTAATGTTGTCATTGTAAGAATATACTTTAGTATAATCCCAGCGTGCTTAGAAAGTCAACAACTATGGTTTGGATGTTTATGATTCTAGTTTTGGTTGAAAATACTAAGAAAGAAAAATAGCTAAATCCTGAATATACGCATAAAGCTGCACACGGTAGATGAAGAATTTCTAGCATATAGCTCTGCAAGTTAGGTAACAAGACCAGGTATAATTGATTGGTTGGTTTTACTACTCATGAAAAAATTGATTCCCATAATATAGTGAGCAAGATAATTGTACTGCATCCTAACAGATGTAAACTGACTGAGTGTGTGACGGGAACCAGTTGATTGGAAAACGAAAATCCTTAAACAAAATACCATAATGAATATTGCATTACAATAGTCACGACACTAGAAATATCTAAAAAGAGATGGTTCACATGAAAGTATGGTATTTCTTAGATAAACACCACTTTCATAAACTTTGAAGGATTCGTACTGCAAAAAGTTCCCAAGCAAGCATAATACCCCTGATAGAAACCTTAAATTACTTTTCTGGCTAAAGCTAGTACAGTCACATTATGGAAAATTGGGTAGATATTTCAGTTACTTATGAATATACACAGAGTATACAAAAAGTTAAGTACCATATAAACAACTTACTAGAAGTATCTATTGTTCTAAAGCATAAAGAATTCCGGTTGTATGGATGTGTTTCATGCTGCACAAAAAATCGAAATGAACAATTTTTGAAGACTTTGTGACAGCATATTACATAGTGAGTTAACAGTAAGTCACAAACATTTACAAGAATTAGCTTACACATTAAAATAGTAAGCAATATGAACAAATACAACTGAAATGAAGAGTTGAAAAGCACATAAAGTGAAAATCTGCTGTCGAGATCGAGAAAAGGGTGTGACTATTTCAGTGTCTCACTAAAAAACGCATATCTCTCATCTGGTAAAATGTAGTCACAACTCTTTTAAAAGAAAAGCGAAAAGAAGTGAGACAGCCACTCGATTTTCAGTGTCTAACCACACCAAATGCTGTTGCGTAGAGCTTTTCTGTCAAGATACACTGATGACTAGTAATCCAGATCTTATCTACGGAGAAGTAACTTCAGAAAATACTAAACCTATCAAGAGATCAATGTAGATATCGAAAGTAAAATATCAGCAGATACGAACTAGTGGCATCAACAACAACAACAAACTTTATAGAAATTATCAACAGACCATTTTCGGCGTGAATAAATTACACAACATAATAACCATTAAAATAAAAGTGTCAAAACACAACCTCGTTCCCTTAAGAAAACCGTTTCATAAGGAATTAAACTGATTGTTTTAATTGCTGCCACACGCCGAATTCAGAGCTGAATATACGACAAAGTAAGAAAAGTTCCCAGCTAATATACGCAACGTTAAATGGTTGGAAGAAATCGACAGGAAAGTTTATCTATAACCTTGAGGTGAACTTGCGTCCCGTCAGAGACGCGAACTCGCGTCCCTCAGTGCTATTTGGGTCATGACTGACGTCCTGTATGACCGCATGATATGCAAAAAATGATACATAGAATTCGTTCAGCCCTTAGAACTAAATAATATGAAATTACTTACTTTTCAGTGACCAATTACTGAACATGATTTATTTATAGAAAACTAAGTAACAGTAATAAACTAACTTCAGGTGAAACTGAATCAGGAGAAAAATACGAATTTAGAGCAGAGAAATCTATCTTAGTGTACATTGGTTCACATAGGTGAGTTTTAATACTCCGCTCTTTGGATTTGACCGGTACTGGAGAAAAGCAGTAGCTATTTGAACTAGTAGACAAATTAATGTTCATCTCAGAAATTTCAGTATGCACCGAAGGACGAGAATTTACCTAGGAATTAATCAAAAACATATATATCATGGAAAAAAATAAATTGCTCGATGAAAATCAACTCAAATTGTACAATAAACCTCCTTAGGTATTCACATTCCTTGGGTAGACGACTTTAGACCTAAGTTCAATATTTATTGGCACTCATTAGAGCTGTGCTTGCCTCTGAATACGGAGAAACTCAATTTACTTAAAAGGTTCAAAAATACATCACTCAGACAAATCAGGAAAGTACTTAGCAGGCTACATATTAAGGTGGATGGAACAAAGGAGTAGAAATAGACGAGACACAGTAGGAACACTAATTACTCACTCAAAAGCGTATTTAGTCAGCCTGAGTTTATCAAGATTTCATTCTTGGCAAGGTAATCTTACAGAGAATAAACTGAACATTGGTTTTGAATACTTATGTGGTTGCTATCTTAAGTACTGTAATACATAGTTCACACTATAAACGGCTTGGTCAATGAAATTAAAAAAAAATATGACTCAATGAACCATTCACGTTTTAAACGCAGCATGTTTTGTATTAATGATGGATGGGTGCTAGCAGGGGAATCCAGCAGGCGCGTTTCGTCTTATTTAGGACTCGTCAGCTGGGGGTACCTGCCTCTCAGTGAGTGATGTTGTTCCCACAAAGACTCAAACTTGGGACAGACAACTTTAAACACTAGAGCGTTATCCACTAAGTCACCGAGTCACGATAACCAGTTCTTGTGCGATGGGTACATGATGATGTCCCTCTTATTATCCTGTCGTTGAATGGATTAGATTGATCGGTCTCCAATGTGTTTGAATTCGAAAAAAGTAGGTTGAAAATGAAAGAACAGATCAGAAAAATAATAAAAACACCATAAAATTAAAAACTGGTTCAGAAACTGACTGTCATTTAACTTACTTCTGCATATAATTTTCGACATGGGTTGACCGCTTGATTGCGATGTCGAATCTGTGGTTCAATCAAGGCTTCCATCGCTTTAGCGGCAAGTGTTAGTGAGGAACAGTGGACACCAGATGAGACTTTTGTGTTGACTTCTGATCCATTTAATCCTTCAAGTGATTCTCTGCTTTTGAACGGTGATGAAGTGCAACAGCTATCTAAGGAACTAGGCTTTATACCTTAAACAGTGGAAAAACAAATAGTGTACTAAGGAGAAATGATTAGGAAAGGGAAACTTTAAGCACATAGCTTCATACTAGTGTCCCTTACTAAGTAACAAAATACAGTGTAACTTACCGACAAATTCCGAGTGATGAGACAAATAAAAGGTACTACTGGCAGTGGCGGGTGAAAAATGCCGAAGAAATGAAAAGGATAATAAGCCTATGTAACGGGACATTGAACAGGGATGGTGATAGCAGCATCACTGGCGGACGTCACTAGTTGTCGTCAATTTAGGTGACAATTCCAAAAGCCTTCACACGGCTGCAGAAGTTCGAGTAGAGAACTTTGATTAGCGTTACATACTATAGTGAGTGTTGCTGATTACAATGGATATAAATAGTATATGTTAAGAGGGCTGCAGAAATCATAGGGAATTACCAGTAATGGGTAAAGATTCTGCCCAGAGAAACACAAGAGACAATGTGGGCGTATTAAGAGCAAATCAAGCTAGAAGCAGAAGAAGAAATGAAGCACATTGTGCAAATGACTGTCTTAGTGGAAGGTGCACAATATTTGATGACTACTGTACAAGATGTCGATAATAAACACGCCTTCCTTCGTCTCTGCCTTCTCGTCTCCTTCAATTGGCGTCGCTGCCTGTGGACGTGAAGATTCCGCGGCCTGAAGTATTCGAGGATGGAGACTTCAACATCTTCCTCAGGGACTTTGAGTCCATCGCAGAGTTGGTGAGTGTCCGAGATCAAGGAGAGAAGGTTGTGTTGCTTGGCATGTTGCTGAAGGGTAGAACGAAAGCAGTATATGACGGCGTGGGACGTGGGGATGGGAAGGAGACTTGGCAGAGAATGGTTGAACGATTGGAGGCGGAGTTTGACAGCGCAGTGGACAATGAGCTGGCGACGCAGCAGTTCCGAAGCACCAAACTTGGAATAGACGAAGATCCGCTGGTGTTGGCTGTGATGTTGACAAAACCACTTGGATGAGCACTTCCCAATCTGGATGAGAACTCCCAGGAGCAGTCGCTGACAGAACAGTTCACCGAAAGTACCCCGAATGCCACCGCCCATCAGCTACGACTAGTGAACGCAGACTAACTAATGGCTATTAGTGAGATGGCCAAGGTCGCCAAACAGCCAGTGGGGTACAGCAGTAGTTGTGGTGGAGCCACCAGAGGTAAATAACTGGAAAAAACAAACCAACAACTTTCAGGAGGAGGCAGCTGCACTTCGAATGAGTATCAACAGATAGAGCGAATGCTTGCGGAAAACTGGGACACTAGCGAAGAAACTGTCCGGAGAGGGGAAAAAGAAAAAGTTTGGAACGATATAATATGGTACAACTTGCACTAAGACAGTCATTTGCACAATGTGCTTCATTTCTTCTTCTGCTTCTAGCTTGATTTGCTCTTAATACGCCCACATTGTCTCTTGTGTTTCTCTGGGCAGAATCTTTACCCATTACTGGTAATTCCCTATGATTTCTGCAGCCCTCTTAACATATACTATTTATATCCATTGTAATCAGCAACACCCACTACAATACTTGGTCACCATTTCTTTCAGTTAGAAACTGCAACAACACGTCACGGGCGACAGAATCAAATACTACATTTAGGTCGAGAAATATGGCAAGTGTTAGTCGTTGGTATGTGAGCCTGTGCTCCAGAACCTGTCGAAAGGTGAAAATCTGAACGATCCATCTTCAACCAGGTCTAAAACCTGCCCGTTCATCAAAATTACACACTCTCGCCGAGTTCGTTCCACGTAGTCATAGATGTGTCTGTGAGGGTTTCACTTTCTTCATTGATTTAACAAGGATCAGTCTCTCCGTAGAAGAGTGCACATATGTTATAGTCTTGTCGGGGGTAGATACTGATGAGATAAAGTATTCCGGATACTTCCAGTAACAATTTAAGAAGAGTTGGGATGCATTTGTCACCTCCTAAATGCAGATTGTTGCTTCAAGACTGATCCGTACTCATACTTTAGGTAACAACAGGGAATAAATCGGTTAAGCGCGCTGATCACTCCACTCACCTAGAAAGTTGAACCAACGCTGGTAGGTCAGTGACCAACACAATCTCGGTACGAATTCGAAAGGCTTGATGAGCATACGTCACTCCTGGTACCACTGAGATATTTATTTCCATATCACAGGTCCAGTCTACTGAGCGGTCAGGCATAGAGTCTTTGGTAGAAGAGATAAATCAGCTTTTGAGGTTGTCGATTTCCATAGACTCAAGTGACTAAGACATATGTTACACATCTCCAGTAGTCATTTACTATGTTGTGCAATGTTACCTGAAGTAGAGTTAGGTCGGGAAAAGAAAGAATGGCTACATTAAAAGTAGCGACAATTCATGGCGTATCTGATCCTTGATCCAAGTCGTATGTATGTAAGTATACCCTTCCAAGCTAGGATAAGAGGGATACCTGGAACCGACGGTTAGAAAAATCTACGTTCTATTTTCTAGATGCATCTGCACCTTATTTTTTATCTGAATCGTATCTTATTTGATCATTTGCTCTAATCACTTTTGTTATTGCGTGGCTTTCTATGGCTTTTATTATATTATTTCCATTTCTGTCTTTCACCTTGCTTCCTTGGTTCTTGATGTGCAGAAGTTAAGTTTAGCAACTTGGACCGTTACGCAACTAAACTAGATCTTATGTTGTTTTCAGCTGTGGCCCAATGCCTTAGGTAATTGACTTTCAACCAGTCGGTCGCTGGTTGGAATCCTGCTACACCTACCGAGGTTCGGGGTATAGGGAAAATCGAAATGTATTCAGAAACCACGTGCACGTTTCGTGAAGAAGGCGATGAGCCACATGTATTGTGTGGGGGGTTAATGATACTACCTAGATGCCCACACCTCAGTAGGTGGAGCGGGGGTCGAACATACGACCCAATGTTTGATAGCCAACTACCTAAGTCAGTCCGTTACAGGTCTGGTATCCATATAGTATTATTAACCCTCACACAGTAAGTGTGGATCATTGTCTACTGCATTGCTTGAGTATGTTTGTCTAATTGACTATAAAACCTGAGAATATGAAAAACAAAACCTTTTATGATTTCAACTTTCAAACTGTGAATAAACGCATAACTATACGAAAAAGAATGAACCAAAAACAAATGGAGTAAAACCAATGATACTTATGCCTTAAAACCAAAAGTAAACGCCACTATGCTGTAAATGCGATCAACAGTGAGTGACTTGGTTGGCTAGTACTAAATCTCGATCAGAAAACCTTGAAATTACTTCCAGACTACTTGCTTAGTCTACATTATATATTGTGGAAGCGTGTGGTGAGAAATTCACTGTCTGTTGCGAGTATTCCGAGGGAAAGAATATTCAAAAAGAGATTAAACGATAGTAAACTCGTGAATTCAACCACAATACACTTCCGATAGTCAGGTGAAACTCAGTTGAACATCAAAATGAATACTTAAGGGTCGATTAAATGAACTTGAAATGTGACCACTTACAAATACCCTCAATTATAAATTAACAAGTAATGTAAACTACCCAGTCGCTATGTAAGTAGATCTTTGCAATGATGCTAGACATTTGGTAATTGATTGATCTGAAAACCATAGAAGGTGGTGAAGCAATAAAAGTAATATCTTTGTTTAGAAGGCATAACTGACTGGAAATAAATATAACCCATAAAAATTGCATCAGATTTTAAGATGCGTGTGCAAATAATCTATACTTTCTAGATATCTAACCGCTGATAATCTAAACATGCACTAAAAAGGGAGGGTCAAAAAACAAATGAAAAGTATTCAATCAATAGCTACTAACCACGTATATCACCCAAATCATCCCACTCTAGTCCATCAACTGATATATCAGGATTGTCATCAGTCCCATGATTCATATCATTGTCAGTAAGATTGAAACACGAATTTTTCACTATTCTAGTATCAACAGCATAATCGCCGTCATGATCACTACTTTTAGGGTTATCCTCAGTAACGTATGGTGACGTGATATCAGGTGACTTCTGTGCATCAAGTGAATACGAATTCGACTCCAATTCTGTGGATGACAGTATTAATTCTGAAAAGGTAGTATCCTCAAGATCACCATTTACTGTTTTAGTTAGATTATTTATCTCTGAATTCGAATGATTATCAATACAAAATATCAAGGATGAAAGTGAATTTCTTCGGAACTTCTTAGAGTTGGGAGATTCAGCATGATATGTGCTAGAACATGAAGAGTTCGGCGGTCTCGAAATTCGGCTGTTAACAGGACTATGTAGTAAAGTGGCAACAGGCATCTTGAATATGTTAGTTTCACTCTTAGAAGTAGGTTGTTCTAACGATGGGCTACAACAGAAGACAAACAAAAAACAATTGATTAGCAGGTTCAAGTAGAAGAGATATTAAAATTTTTTTAAATGTTTCATTTTACTACAGAAAGAAAAACTATGAAACACTTTTTTATATTTGTATTCCCCATTGAATAGTGTGATCCACTCAATATCAAAGTATGTTCAAACCACCAGGTTCGGATACGATTAAAGATAAGGAAAATCAGACCAATTACGCAACAAACTCATACTCCTGAGAAACCAGTACAAGTTGCGAAACAACGCGGAGTAGATGGCTTAGAAACTATTTGTAATACTCAATGAACAGACTAAGATGACAGAAAGAGAACAGAATACGCATCTTTAAAAGTGAAACTCAATCGCCTCTTGCTACTGTTTCGTTGCCCGCTACCCAATTGGATACAGAATGGAAAATTAAAATAGGGTCTCCAATTCTGACAGAAGTTGGAAAGATCTGAAAAGAGGAAGAGAAGTAGTATCAGATGAACTAGTATCGGAGGTATTTAAGGACTGTGGTCGAAGATTATTGGTTAGGCTAACTGAAATGTTAGCTACCGTATAGTGAATTAGATATGATACCTTCTGATCGGTTTCAATCACCGATTGTTCCAGTCTGTAAAAAAGGTGATAAGTCTTCTTGGGATAACCATAGGGGAATCGGTCTGAAGAACATGGTGCCTAAGATTCTAGGTTTTATAATTATCAGACATTTAAGTGGAGCTCAGAAACAGTAAACCTGAGAAAACCAGCCAGGTTTTAGACCTGATCATGAGGGTACTGACTAGGCATTCACCGTCTGTGAGGTTCTAAAACACAAACACTTTCCGGCGCCTGACATTAGCTGCATTTCTCGACCTGAAGGTGGCATTAAACTTTTTCGACCGAAAGGTCTAATGGTAGTGTCTCCCACTCAAAGCGGCATCGAGTAAGTAGTAAGTACATCGCTATGTTGAAGGGTCTTTACTCAAACACCCATGTGTTGGAGCTTATGGTGAGTTGCGTATGTCGAGTGGTGTCCGCCAAGGATGTCTACTCTCTTTATTCCTATTCAACTCTATCAGGTATGTACTTATGGAGATTTCAATCTCACTATCTGATTTCGAAGGGATTGATTATGCCATACAAGAATTCATGGAGATCTACAGTCCTCCAAGGTGGAGACGCCAACAAGATGAATACCGTGATTGGCAACTTCAGCATGTTTCAGATACGTTTATCGCCACTAAATTGTTGCTCCAGGACTGGCGTACTTTGATGTCTTGCGTAATAAGAGGGAATAAAGTCAAGTGTACTGACCACTTCGTCTACCTGTGAATTCGAATCGGGGTCGCTGCACCAGTGACAAACGAAATCTCAGCACCCATACAAAACGCTCGATTACATTTGACCAAATTACACCCTTCATAGCACCAACATGATATCCGACTACCTACAACGCGTCAAGTGTATTACATCGTATTTCGACCTGGCCTACTACGTGACTACACAACATGGACATTACAGGTGAGAAAGATGGAAAGGCTCCGATTTTCCTATCGCCATTATCTTCATAGCATAGGTCATGTGTGGTGGTGTCACCACGTCAATAACGCAGAAGTCAGGCGTAGAGTTTCACGCAAAGGGGCTGAATCGGTTGACGAAGCTGTAGACCATCAATTCAGTTGGCTGAGACATGTGTTACGCACGTCCAGTCCCCATCTTTCTCATCCCAGCAAAATGTTAGCTGAAGTAGGTTCAGGTTGGTAAAATGCTAGAGAAGGTCAAACTAAAGGATGGCATCAGTTCATTAAGTCTTCGCCTATTGGCTTAAACCGTGTGCGGAAATGTAGACTTTTCAGTTGGAGTCTGTATGGCAACAGAAATTGGTGACTGTAGACTTTAGATGATATGTCTCAGAATCTATCTCAGTAGAGAAGATACGATGACAATGTTTTTATTTTAGTCACCACACCGGAATTTCGTTACTGTTTTATGCGCCATCTTTCTCGTTTTACGACTGCAACTTTTGAATACTTCCTTCCCTATTTCATCAACTTTCATTTTAGTGCCTTCTCGCTAGGTGTATTAAAGTGAGGTGATGCAACTTGAACACTTATCCAGAAGTGTGAAATCCCAAGTTGATATTATCTATCTACCCATCTATCAACTGCTTACGGCCACAGACCGACTAAAGTAGAATCTTGTACAGAAGCTCAAGCTGCTACGATTCGGATCAGCGCAAAAGAAGACAATGAACAGAAGTAAAATGAAATAGTCCACTAATACTGACCAGCATGAACAACTTAAGCCCTACAGCTTAGTTGATTCCATGTTACATAGATTACCCAAGTTACACAGAATGGATATTTCTCTTCGATCAATGGTAGATACAACCAGTTTTTCGTATTATTCAACTGCTAGATGGCACATAAATATCATCAAAAGAGTAATTAATACTCTCAAGAACTTTGATTTCATTGGATTAGTAAAAAATATTGATGTGTTCAAAGAAACAAATGGATCTCGGAATGTCACTTCTCTTTTCACAAGCATTCACCTAGTCGAAACTATTTGTCTGATACATGACTAAATTAATTTCGACTTATAATCAGATGTGTCAAATTCTCAAAAGGATTACTTTTCAGATGCATCTTCAATATCTAGCTCAAGTTAACACAAAATCTTATGTACAGAAGGATGGTGTAGCAATGGAGTCCCTTTATGAACCACTTCTAGTTGATTATTCCATGCTCTCATTTGAGAACCTCCGTAACACTTTTAATGTCGCTCATTCATAACGTGAAGCCACTTAAGAGTGAGTCAAATTCGATGCTCGCAGAAAACCAACGTAAACTGAAAAATGTATCAACCTCCAAAGCTGTACCCTCCTCATTAGCAAAAAGAACCTTATACTTTTGCTATGTTCAAGGATGCGGAGAATCTGCTCTGAAAATGTTATAATTTCAACGACTGAATAGACCTTAACCAAAGAAATCGATTCCTAAGACCTTGAGAACCCTGATCAGATTACCCGAACCGCCCTAATAACTGTCTGAAACTAAATAGCTTAATGTCACGTAAACCTGGTCATCCTTAGATTTCTTTCAAACCAAAGTGTTTCATGGAATAGCATAGATGTTTGTCAGGAATCGATTTCCATACATTAAAAACTTAGTACATATCCTTCTTTAGGGTTAAAAGTGAAACGTAAAACGCACTGCGTGGTTTTTAATTTAAACTCCAACCATAGAAAATAAAAAAATCATCAGTAAACTGCTAGATGCATAAACACAATAGTGATCATAACACTAACCGATAGATGGAATTTAAACTAGTAGACAACAATAACTTACAATCAGTTAAGTATATATAATCCCAACACGCAACGGCTAAATATTTTATGTCAAAACAAAAGACGTTTAGCAAAGAGTCACTCCTTTCAACGATATCTGTACAATCGCATATAAATATTCTGTTCATATTGCAAAATAAAAGGAATGTTTCATGAAATATTTTTAGATGAAATTCGGTTTTGATTGTAAATCAGAAGATCGGATAAAGAATTATATAATGTTCGAAATAGTAATGCGAAGAAAACTTATCAAAACTGAAGCAATAATTGGTTACTAAGCCAACTGGTGTAATATGGTTCAAGAGGCTGGTGAATGCAATTAAAAATCATAATTACAGGACGGGGGCTGAGAAAATGCAATGTGTGAGATGTGAAAGGAAAGATTTTGAGGGTAAACTGTTCTCATACTGGTTGCATTCAGTTCTCACTTTCCAAACGCATTTCCGAACATATACCAGCCTGGTGTCACAAAGGAGAGCACCTCAAAGCGCTATTTTAGAACATTCGATCGATTATAATCACCCGTGAATGCAGGAAACAACTTGTGTCATCCATAAAGTTTGCGCAAGCTTTATCAAAGGTGTACGCCTGGAACTTCTTTGAAACGCCAAAAGCCATGGTAATTAATATCATGAAGTCTGAACTCTATGCTAAAAAAAATAGTCCAGTTACTTCACTTACAACTGATATGACCTATAAGAACATTTTACCCTCAAAATATTTCGTTTTATATCTTCTTAAACATTGCATTCTCTCATCCCCTTTAATCATATTACACCAGTTGGCTTAGTAACCAATTATTGCTTCAGTTTTGATAAGTTTTCTTCGCATTACTATTTCGAACATTATATAATTCTTTATCCGATCTTCTGATTTACAATCAAAACCGAATTTCATCTAAAAATATTTCATGAAACATTCCTTTTATGTTGCAATATGAACAGAATATTTATATGCGATTGTACAGATATCGCTGAAAGGAGTGACTCTTTGCTAAACGTCCTTCGTTTTATGATTTAATGTGGATTTTTAAATTAATATTATCTAATGTGTCAAACGTTAGTCAAATTGTGTAAAACGGTGGTAGAGTTTTTCAGCAGGTAAGGCAGAAGGTTGAAACAGGTGATGTTACCATTTTCTTCATAATTTCATGTCTTTTTTGTTGACTCCCGATAAATTTACTATCTTTCAACCTTTAGAGTAACTAACATAGCTTTTACCTAAGAACCAGTCAAAATTTGCTTCCGACCACTTACATGCATGTAATATTTTGGAACTTTTGAACCTTTTTGAGTGCAGAACTATTAATGATTGACCAAGAGAAATATTTGAAAAGAGTGACAAATGTCATATACTGTAGAAAAATCCTTTATGTATCTTCATCCCAACCGTTATTTCACACTTCATCATTTGCTTTATCCCCTCCTGTGGTGACTTTCGATGACTTGATTTTACTGCTTTTAATTCATTGTCTCTTATCTTGTTGTTGTAAAGTGTAGTAACTTGGACCGCTAAGCAGTAATGTCACATATCCTATTTTGATACTGATCGACTGAAAACTGCAGTTCATACGTGGAAAGAAGAGTGGTACCGTGCATATTTTTTCGGTTATGCATCTGACGATGCTTACTTAATATGAACACAGAGAATTCGGTGCACATATAAAATGGTAACGTACCAATAAGTGACACAAAACAACTAATGAAAATGACACTACAATTACATTAGAAAAGGAATATATTAAAAAGAAGATACGATAAGCCTAGCGTATTTGTGATACGTTTCTTTAAACATAATTTAGTCTTTAGGACCAGTACAATACAAAAATCTCAGAATCAACTGACTTACAAAAAAGCTTTCAAGTTTAGTGACTTCAAATTCCTAGCATCTAATTCATATCAAATTTAATCAGAGAAATCCAGTGGAAATCTGGCTATGAACAGCTGCTGATTACGGTAAAATGAGATATGATGCAACGAGAAAAATAATCTATTTAGAATAAAACGTCTTACATGTCAAGGTTATATTTAATTATGCATGTGTGTGGGTGTCAAATTTATGATTAGACTGTTTTATGAAAGTTAAGCCAACCTCAATCGAAATAAACCTATGAATTAAATACATAGAAAGAATCAAAACAAATCTGCACAAAATACGACCAATTGCAACACAATATCTTATTTGTGTCTATACCCGAATAAAGTTAACTTCACACCGCTATCAAGTGTGACAGATATATGGGTTATACACTAAATGCATGAGGTATCCTACATTAGATCCGATATGACCAAAAATAATAAAGGTTTTGAATGATTCTCTAACTGATGTCAGTCCGTCCATGATGAATACAACCTTAAAATAACACTCACTAAGTCAGTTTTCTAGATTGAATAATATCAAAATTCATGTTCTCCTACATGAGTGTTGTAACAACTATGTTTTTCTAAGGAAACTAGAAGCTTTGTAGTGAAGATCTTTCTCTTTCTGCATTACTTCAGCCTAGCAAAAACGTTGACAGTCATCGGTTGCCGAAAAAACTTTGCACTTGGCAGATCCTCATAGCTGCGCTGCAAATTACTTATTCACGGAGTGCAACGAGTTGTGTGATGACAATCATACTCAGCACTGTGAATTGAAAACCCTGGAGCTAGGTCTAGTCATATTGAGACTCACCTGTAAAGTTTGTCTGCAACCATAGGGAAACAAAAATATTCTCATATAAACCAATGTATACTTGTTCATAACACGACGTAAGCCATCAATGAATTAGAATTAATCGATATGAGGTAAGTAGTTGAGGACACATAAAACAAATTTCACATTCTAAAAATTTAAATAATTAATTAATTAGTGTTATTGCTTGTATTATACCATCGTTGACTGGACCGAATTGACCGGCCTCTCTCTATTGGCATATGGGCTTCTGTGCGGATGCCTCGATATACCTGTGTTCAAGTTATAGTAAAGATGGATAGTGGCTAACAGTGGAACCCAGGATGCACATTTCGTCCTGTTTGAGACCCGTCAGCGGGATGTACCTGCCTCCCAGTGAGTGATGTTATTCCCACCGGGATTCGGACTCGGAAGAGATCGTTTCAAACGCCAGAGCGTTATCCACTACACCACCGAGCATCCTGGATTCCACTACTAGCTACTATCCATCTTTACTATAACTAGAACACAGGTATATCGAGGCATCTGCACAGGAGCCCATATGCCAATAGAGACCGACCAATTCGGTCAAATCAACGACGGTATAATACAAGCAATAATACTAAAACTGTACCCGTCGCACAATAAATAACTATCATGGCTTGGTGGTGTAGCGGATAACGCACTGGCGTTTAAAGCGATCTCTCCCGAGTCCGAATCCCAGTGAGAACGACATCACTCAATGGGAGGCAGGTACATCCCGCTGACGAGTCTCAAATAGGACGAAATGCGCATCCTGGATCCTACTGCTAGACACTATCCATCTTTAAACCAATTAATTGACTACAAAATAAACAACATACTATGACAGTAGTCCAGAGTTTCAGTCAATTTATAGACATCTAAACAAAGTTAGGATCCGATGGTTTAAAAAATTTGGTCATTGGGTAAACGATATTCATTATTCTGATATTTTTATTTACCAATGAATGTTCTAACTGACGTTTCGTCATTTAGTGCTAGCGATGATATGTTTATCAAAGCTTTAGAGTATGTAATTTTGCTTTACATTCATTGAGACATACAAATGCCAAAACAATGAACATCCTCTTTACTTTTTACTATAAACAAAGTGATTAGAGTGTGTTAAAAATAAAGTCTTGTAGTACCACAGTTGAATTCAGTAAGAACTGGCCTAGGTATCAGCATTTACATGATGACGAATTATAAACGTGTGGGGAGGGCTGAGTGCAGAAATCAATGTGCACTTATGATCAGATACAAAAATGAAACAATGAAATCCGAAAAATAGATAGGTTATCTACAAATAGTTGAGTGTGAAAAAGAAATCAACAAAAATTGGGAATTTTCGTGTTTTTATACTCGTCTAAACGATAGAAATTTTAATAGAACCAACTAAATAAGATGAAGTTTTGCGAGAGGATGGTTATTTACTAAAAAGTTTAATACGTACAAGTACTGGTTTTGTACGCCCTCACATATGTAGTCAGTTACTACTCATATCTTGTGCGCAGCTTTTTTTCCAGCTGGGTTTCAGTAGCGAGTTAACAGTTAAACAACACGATACAAATGCATCAGCTGAAAATTCCCAATGGCAAGGGGATAAACTGACCTTTGTTATACGTTATACCAGCAAATTTAGAAAAATAGAAAGTAGTGAATACATTCAGCGTGGTGTATACATAAATAATTTGAAACATTCCAGCTGCTGAAATGTAGCGAACAAAAAATACCTCTATCAGGAAAAAAAGTACTACTGTTCTGTCAGTGAAGTAGACAAACGTAGTTTACCATAAAGGTAAGTAAAAAATAGGGTGATTTTAAAGGCCACCCTAGCAACAATCGAAATGACCAATAAGCCTTCTCCGTTTCGGATGAAAAGGCAGATTTTCATAAAATACAGAAGTCTAATTGGTTATTTCAGTTGTTGCCAGGGTGACCTTTAAAGTCACTCAATAAATATGCCGAAAATGATATGTACCTACCATTCTGCTTGAATATCACAATCATTTGAATGCAGGCGTGAACAAAAAGGAGTAAGATCATGATAGCTGGATGCACGAGTTTTCAAACTACGCCGATCTAAATTATCGAAATAACCTAGTTTGAGACTAAAATCAAACATACAATGAAACTGACTCAACGGAGTCTTATAATGTTCTGTTTTTCTACTGTCATCATTGTTCTCGTTATGCTCCAGTCGAGATATGACTGATTTAATCGGTGTTCGATCAGAATTCTCATGATATAACTCAATGGATGAGTCATTTATCGCTTCTGAATCATTAGAATCTGAAAACGAGAAGACCAGAAGATAGATAACACTAATCAGTAGCTCGTTGTACTTTAGTTACAAAAAAGGTACATTTCAAACACGATTTGAATGAAACTAAATACAACCCAGTTTAAATATGACATTTTTGTTGAAAGTACCACCCTACGAGCTACATCTACTTTGGTGAACACTACTGACGCCATCTGACTACTTAAGCCTCACTAGGTGGGCCAAGGTCCACTAGATTATGAGTGCAAAATGTTTGAATCAATGGGTCGGAGTAATTTCATTAGCTTTGTGTCGTGTTGAGGGAATATAGGCAAATGTAAAGTGAGTCAGTATGTGAATAAAACTGCAATCAATTAAAAATTGATTGTCTGCATAATTAGAACACATTGGTCACTCTCAGAACGAAAGCACGTTGTAGGATTCATCTTATACAAGACTGATTGATTTTAATAAAAACTTGTGTAATAGCTAAAGTCGAATCAAATCGAAACTCAGTCACCAACTATGTGCACATTCGTGAGGTAGGCGATGAACTACACCCATTACGTGAGGCCTGATGATACCATTTGGCTGCCCAGACATCAATAACTCCAATGGGATTCGAAGCCTTGGCCCATTGGTTGAAAGTTGAGTGTCTAGACCAATGAGCCACAGTTCAGCAATGGTTGAAGTAGTAACTGTTTACAATACGATTACGGTTAGCATCAAATCACTCTGACTTCAACGTTTTTATCATCAAAAAGATGTTGAGTACTACGTACATCCCCTTCGAACAAACCAACAGCACCATTATTAAAACTAGTGTAAATTTCCTACTAGTCATTTAGTACTACTGATAGTAATACAACTCCGCAACCTGCTACACTTCTGTGTACTTCAATAATGTAAAAAGAGCGATGTTGTTCACATTCATCACAGGGAATAAATGCATAACACTTCTAGATACTAGGCAGAGAGTTATTTATGCGGTAGGTATTAGGTTACTACCACCATTTCACAGATTGCACTATTCACTGCTTCACATTCAAACCGCCATTAAAATGGTTTCTCAGGTTTAGCTTTCTTAGTTTTACGAACAAGTACTCTCGAGAAAAATAAAAGTTACAGAATGTTCCCTAGAAAGAGCAGGGGTTTATAATTATAAGGTTTAAACCAATGGCTGTCAAGTTAAACAATATCTATTAATGTTTACAGTTAATACTCGCTCAATTGGCTTACGTAGTTTTTAAAATAAATGTTTTCGAAAAAACTACGTATATTTAGATAATGCTTCAATGATGATGATGATGATCTCCGAAAAATCATTTATTGTGAACACTGGTGCAAACTGCAAAATTCGCGATTACCTCAGAGACAGCTCTTTTAATTACTAGTAACACGTTTGTCTATGTCAATAAATTGGATTCAGATTATCTAACATAGTGGGTTCTCTGGAATGAATTAGTTCAGGTACCCCGTTTGCCGAGCTTACAAGAAAACCAATCAAGTGGCTGTACATTATTCTGACTATTTCGATTTGGTTAGTGAGATTTACTACTGTTCAATTTAGGTTGCGCTCCATAGTAACACCTTCAGATCCCAAAACATGAACAGTTAACAGGAAAATAAATGTTTGTCTCACCTATATTACAAATCCATAAACATTCTGAAGACTGTGAACGACGTTTATCATATAAAGAACACGGGGAATTCGTACTTTGCAATTTTCTACAGAGAGATTCAAAAGCGACTTGCCCAGTACAAGGTGAATCCAATCTATTCGATAACTGTGATTTCAGAAAATAGTCATTATCACTTGCAAATCCGGATTCCGGACAACATAATGAGTAAATGCTGGATGCTGAATCACGCATGTGAATCTCTGAATTAATATTTTGCTGAAATTTACGTTTTACAACAAAAAACGTTATCCAAAAGCAAAAATAGATTAATTTTCATAACACCAATAGACAGAAAAGATTAGAAAAAGCTGCAAAATTCCGATTCAAATCATAAGAACAACGTTGTAAAATTGTCTACACAAAATGTCTATTATTCAATGAAAATGAAAACAATGTTTTGCAATTATCATTTCTAAAGTAGGATTGTCGCCCGTCCTAATGAGTTTGAGTATGAATGATCATTTTTACAGCCAGCCTAAATAATTAGTCTTCAGAGAGTTAAACTCATTATTTAACTTACCAGAGAATAAGTTGAGTCTAAGATGCCGTGTTTGTTGATTTATGATTAGCCTGAAGACCACAGTGCTACGAACATTCTGCCCTCTTCAAGAAAGAACAGATTTAAGGCTTCAGAATAATTCATGTTCAAGCTTTCTCGTATCAGCTAGGCTTTGGCGAAGACGACAGATATTCTAACGGTCACAACTCTCATACTTTAATTTGCACGTGAAGATTAGATCATTTAGTTTCAAAGGTATACACTTCGACTTGAATAATATAGTGTGGTGATGCAGAAACTTCTGACAAGTAACGGCAGAAGTTTGCGGTTACTTCCGAGACATTTATGACGTACGGGGAAATCACCGATTTCTTCGTTCGAAGACGGTTAAATGGCGAAACAGATCAACGTAGAACCTTGAATATAAGCGAATCAATTTAAATTGCTGCACCTCCTGACAACACAGGAGGACAATAACGAAAATAGAATGATATTAAAATAAAGTGATACCAGAAAAGACGGAAAAATAGTCAAAGACAATTTAAAATTCCCGAAGATTATCGACAGCGAAATTTCCGTAAGTGTACTCGACCTTGGACCTCGTCAGCAAACACTGATTCCCAACATGTCGACAGTCACAATGAGACAAAGTACAATCCCTATATGACTCAACAGCAAAAATCACACACCGCATATTAGTTTCATATCTTGGTCCGACTACACCTAATGTTCTTCCAAACTAATCCTACAGCCGTGCAGTAGAAACACATTAAGAATGACAGCACGGCATTTAATCAACAACAAAGGTAGCGCAAGTAAGCGACTACCAACTCGAACTTCCTGCGTTCAGGCTGAGACTGACTTGACAAACAGCTATCCCAGTTGATGAAGCCACCAAAATGAGTGAAGTAAAGCTAGTAAACACTCGGCGTCTTGTTCTAAACCTAGGAATTTGGGGACAACCGTCATGAAACATAATCTGAAACTTCACAGATGAGAAACATGTTTAAATGCTGGATGCGCATAGACGAATAGTAATGGAAAGTATCACTGTTAGGCATAACTGGTAGTCACCACTTCCTATAACATGTCCACCTGCTAATAATAATTGCCATTGCAATCTCTTTAACCCGCCGCTGTCCTAATCATAAACATGAGTGCGCAAGTCAAGTTAGTGGGACCGACTTCAGCACCACCACTGTCCAATAAACCTTTAGTTGCATAGAGATTCATTAAGCTGCCTGTCGTTGGTAACATCTCGGGTCTGTTTACACCATCTTGAGTCCCTAAACACTTGCCTCCACAAACCTGCCCTGTAGTCTACTATCTCATATAACTACTTTAAAACCGTGTCTCACTTTCAACCTTCAAACCTTGATGCAGATCCCACACCAGACAGGTTTGTTTATGACTCTGAAGGCCTGGCTATTATTGTGTCCAGTGCCTCAGATATCTAGATACAAGATCCCGGTAAACCTCTTCAAATAAATTCCTCATCTGTCAGCTCAAAAAGTGTATTTACAGGAGGCTTATCCGGTTATCCTGTCATACCAACAGCTGGTGTCAGCGTCGCACTAAGTTGTGGAATCAAACCTGCACCAGTCGTCTGTGTGCTGATAGGCTAGAAAGGTTGGAATGGAGTGAGCAGCAACTGGTGAGAGGAACGATGTCTCTTCGTCATCTCTGTGTTCCGACTGACTGCAGCCCAGATGTAGTTAAGGATGATTTCTACCATCAACTGAGTGACCTTCCATATCAGATACGCTTGACAGATATTGTAATGCTAGCAAAGGACTCGCACGAAAAGGGCAAGATGCCTAGGCTCCAAGGAAGGTTGTTCAGATGGACAATGGAGGTAAGTCAATCGCAGGTCAAGTAGTGAGAATCACCTACTCCAGCCTTGTTTGTGCAGATCACGACCTATTTCTAGCTAGCACAAACTCCTAGTACAGCTATCGTCGTTTTCCTACTTGCCGTCCTCCATCTTCCACTCAAGCTTCGAGTCGAATAGGTCATATTACAACCGGCTACTAGTGGTGTAGGTGCATTCAGGACTCCCACTACTTCCGAAACGTCAGTTTAGACACTAAACATTTTTAGTGTGCGTTAATTTCATCTAGCCTTTCAGTGTTCATAAAAATTGTCGTCCTAAAAGGTCAATGTAAGCAATTTTGTTGCTATCAGTACTGCAACTAAACACCAAACCGACCGATATCCCAGGTTAGTTGTCAGAACTTAAGAGTATAGATCACCATTGGTGGCACGCACAAGATGCAATCAAAAAAGTGAGTGAAGTTGTTTGTGGCTGAGAAGAATGTCACGACAGTAAACACTGAGTCCCCGTGAGGTCATTGCAACGTTTGACGCTTGTCGGTGTATTTCGGTGGCGAATGAGTATGCTTGCGCCCCTTACACAACAGATCAAACAATACAATCCATGTATATTGGTGGTGGTTATGCACAAATAAGATAGAAGTAATAGATGCATGTGATAATAGTTAGAAGCTGTTTTACATCTTTCAAGCCACCGGTGGTAAGAAACCTGGTGACAATTAAATTTTCTGTAAGATAGATGTCATCCCAATCAGTAACCTTGAGAGACATCTGAAAAGCTGTCCGAAGTACTTAAAAATGATATTTAGCTGGCTTAGTGCTCCAACAACTTTAATCTTTAGTATGCTTGTTTTTCTCAACTCTGGTCATCCCGAAAAGACAGATGTTCAAAATGAGCTCCAAATTCTTAAGTGACATAAGACACCCGACCCAAACAACTTATCCATGGCTCTTTTATGGATGGAGTTGAACGTATTAAGGCAGTCAACTAAAGTGTCTGACGACGTATAACTAACTGTTTCGTCGACCTGAAATAAATTCACCATTGTTCCCCATGTTTAAAAAGAGCCCTAATGGATATCTGCGACAACTATCAAAATAGTATTAGGCTGTTACCAGTAACACATAAAATACTGACCACTAACGTGTTTCGCAGCATTTGCAAAACGCATAAACACTGATTAACAAGAAGGTTATCGCTGCACTGACTTAGGAATTCATTATCCAATAGATGCTCGAACATGGACAGACTGCAGGCCAATGCTAGTATTTCCTGGTGTTGCGGCTACTTTCGGTTGGTCAAATCGGACTGTCCTTTAGAATTTTCTCTCCACCTATTACTTGGGTAAAGCATCACTTGTTCTGATTAGTTAAATCGGTGCGCAAAAGCATTTCTTGTCAGCAGAACAAGGGAAAAATAGTTGGTGTACAACGAATGATGAAAGGAACAATATGATAAAAACTTAGTTTCCCGGTAATCAGCTCACAGACTTCGCTATGTCAAATCAGAATACTGAGTGTTTAACAATTCAAATTAATAAACATTCATTTTTCTCCAGATAAGAAAATAAACTAGGGGAGACGATTAGAAACATCTGTCAACATTTACCACTGATAGGCAGTATATTAGGGAGGAATAAAATGCGATCTTACACTTTCTGGTGAAAACTCACTGACTGTCTAGTACACCTCGTCTTTGTTTAGTTATGGTTATGCAACCAAGGTCACATCTTCTGCATACAAGTGAGTTTATTTCATTATGGGATATACATAAAATTCTAACAGTTCCCCAATGCCTTCTGATTTGCATTCAGTTTGAACATAATCATCGCTAGAAAGTAGGAGTTAGTAGATGTCATAGTTATGTCCACTAAACATTAACTCAGTATTTTTGTACGAAAACTGTACACGACCATTACTAATGCTACTGAATTAGGCATGACACACAGCATCAGAGATGAACTCTCTTATGACTGCTTTGTTACATTTCAATATTTTGGTACAACTAAAATCAATTCTATGTATGCTGTAAACACAGACTAATTCAATATGTACCAGTGGAATTTTTATATAAGACCTCTACAAAGTGCCAAACCGTTTTACATTCTGAAAAAAAAACTTTTGGACACAGTCTACTGAAATTTTAAAAAAGCTTGTAAGAAAGATCACAAAGCTGTTTATTCACTTAGTGTGATAATAGAAATTCCAGCACTGTGGTGTAAGTTTAATCCAATAATACACCATTTCTATACATATATTACACAGTGAAGCAGTATTATGTACTGATGACCTTTCGAGTAGAATTTATTGCTCATAATCATATCGACGTATTCATACAACTTTCTGGTCCAGACAAGAACGTCATTAAGTACATAGTACTATTTCGCTGTGATGTTTACTCGATTATATCAGTAGTGAGGGGGTATTATGTTTGCCAAGTGAACTTTGAAAAAGGTTTGGTATAAAGAATTCTAAGGTAGTGGCGGTAACCTGTTTTAGTGAATAGGCTCACCAAGGAATTAGTGCCGAATACAGCCCGTTATATGGAAATTTTTCAAATGACCTCGTTTAGAGTCCTAACAGATGGTATCTAGAGGTGACTGTAATCAAATAGGGTAGAAACCAATGTCCAGCAAAAAAACCCTGAATGGAAACAAAAAGCTCTCCACCAACCAAAAATATTTCATATATATAAAAAACCTCGCCTAGTTAACTAGTTCACCAGTTACTAGCCGGTCCTAAGCCAAGATAAACAGGGAAGGTTGACATATCGCTAGCAACCCTACCACGGAAAACTAATTCACTCCCTAAACAAACTTCTAAGCACAAAAAAAGTATAACAAATAAAAACAATTATTCTTTGCTGGAATTGACGAGACGAAAAGACGCAAGTTGGTGAAAGACTTCAGAAAGCCAACTGGCAGACGCATCTTCCCTTCTCTCGATGAAAGCAAAAGTAAACATAGGCACATAAAATGTCCACACCATGTTTCAACATGGCTGCCTGGCAAGGCTGCCCACATTCCAGAAGAGATGAAAAGTTATTGCATAGAAGTGCTAGGTATCACCGAGGAATCTGCAGATGGAATACAAGTGGACTCAACAAACTGTCAACTACAGAGTCAATAATCTACTCCCACATTCTCACACCAAAACGACAAACACCTGCACAGCACACTGAGTTCTCGAGTGGCTATCATGATGTCACCAACACCATCAAAGACTCTCTCTCATTCAGGGGGAGCCAATCCCCTCCAACATCAGGATCACGATCATGACAGCAAGACTCAACTCAAAAGGAAGGAAAGTCACAATCATACAATGCTACACTACTCTACACTACACTATACACCGACAAATAATCCAAATCATCAAGAGAACAAGGAAGAATTCTACACACAACTACAATCAGTACTCAACAACAAACCACACCACACCACACCAGGTGGCAACATCAACATTCATTCTAATCCGTGGGGTGACATGAATGCCAAACTGTGAGAGGACAACACACACGAAGACAACTCATCATGGGTAGAGAAGCACTCGGGGAAATGATGAACGAGAATGGAGAACTCTCTCTGCAGAATTCTGCGCAGGTCATTGGAGGAAGGCACTGTGTTAAAACACAAGGATATTCACAAAGCGAGCGACATGGATTCGATTTCACCAGACACCAGGACACACTACACTAAAAATCAGGTCGACTTCATCTCAATGTGAAGAAAGTGGACACAACATCCGATCAAGAATGCCATAAAGTTGCTGAAATCCCGGAAAGCAACACGACCACATGGAATTTCTCCACAACCACTGGAAACAGACGCACAGACAACAACGGACATACTCACACCACCATTCCACAAGGTTTGCAAGCAAGGAAGGAAACGCACCTGCCCACTGATTGAAAGAAGGCCTACCTTCTCAAACTACCAAAAAAGGGAGACTCAAATCTTCACAAGAACTGCCACGAAATCATGTTCCACACCTGCACACCACAAGCAAAATATTATCCCGCATCATCCTGGAGAGACTATACAACACTCTGCACTCAAAATTATGACAGCAACAGGCTGACTGACTGACTGACTGACTGACTGACTTCAGGAAGAACAAATCATGTGTGGATCAAACTCCAACGCTACGATACACATCATCATAGAACACAGCATACAATGCCAGTCAAGTCTCTACCTTACCTCAAACTCATCGATTTGGAAATGGTCTTCAACAGAGTCGACCGACAAGTAATTTAACAGGCAGCTGCTGCTTCAACACTACGGCTTCAGTGCCACAAACCTCTATCAACCTCAGTCAACAGCTAGGTGATGACGACGACACATGCCAAGTGATTGACAGTGGCAAGCTCAGTGACGCCTTCGAAGTGAAGTGAAGATCAGAGTAAGACAAGGCTGACACCCACTATCAACGATCATCTTCCTCATTGTCGTCAACTACACTCGACTCGACTCGACCCGACTGCATCATGCAGCAAACTGTGAGGAGCTGTGAGAAGAGGGACATACGCTGACTGGACAGATGAAAAGACCCTACAACATTTGGATTTCGCCGCCGATGATGATTTGTGTATGTCTAATGTCTTGTCGCACAAACTCGAAGATCTACAAGCAAAAACTAACAAGCTGACAGAAGTGGTGAGGCAGTGGAGATGGGACTTCCTTCAGATGAACGTAGAGAAGACAGGTGGATGAAGACACCTCCCAACCGACAACAACAACCACAACAAGCACCAATAGCCGACAATGGGAGAAACCTAAACAAAATTGCCTCTTCCACCTACCTAGGCATTATCGCATCGTCCCAAATGCTGCCGGTACAGGCACAGATGAGGACGTCAAAGCAGCCAAGATCGGAAAAACAGGAAGACAGGCCTTCACTAACCTGAAACCAGTATGGAGATCTACTCCACTTAGCACAAAGAACAAGATACGGATTCTCAACACTGATATCAAGTCAGTGCTTCTATGTGATGGTTCAGAAACTTGGCGCATCACGAAAAGCCTTTTGCAACAAACTACACACATACATTACATCAACAGCTGCCGCCTACACTCACTCGAGACTGACACTGAAGATCAGATCAGATGACCGGAATAATAAGAATAAGCAACAGGGAACTCACTCTGGTTGGCAACGAACCAGCGAAGCAAGAACCCATCGCCCAAATAATAGGCAGAAGTGGAGATGGATTGAATTGGGCATACACTGAGAAGACCATTTGAGGACATCAGGCCAGTCCTCGAGTGGAACTCTAAGATGAAATAAGGAGTTGGGCGTCGGAGGGTGACATGGAGGAGACGGTGTGAGGAGGAAATGAAAGCTTCTGAGCAGTCGTGGAGTCAAATTCAAAAGACTGCAGAGAACAGAGTGAAATGGTGACGTGCTACTGAAGCCCTATGTTCCACCAGGAACCCAAAGGACAAATATATATATATATATATATATATATATATATATATATCTGATGACCTCATTGGTAGCGTAGAATATACTAACGTCCTAAAATATTTTGACACAATAAACAAGCAAATAGACACGAATTTAATGAGTTTTGCTGAAAGAGTACCTAGTAATTATCTTACTTACTGAGATAGAAGCAATTACTGGTTCTTTACCATGCGGTAATTCTTAATTGTAGATGATTAGTTGCGCAATAGTCACTTTACATCGTTTTCAGTTGTTTCGACAGATTAGTTCCTATGCATCGTATCACTTTCACGTGATAAAAATCATTTGAAACTTCTGTCCCGAGGGTGATTTGTCTTCATTCACCGTCTAATCAAACACTTCTCTAAACCACCTTTTCTATCTATAGAATATTCGTCGAATTTTCCGGTAAATACGTAACCTTACAAATAATTCTTGAAACTACAATTGTTATTCCCCATCAGTTTTCATTACAAAACCAGGATCCCTTCCTCCTGTTGAGTCAACAATATCCTCCTCTACAATCGACTAAAACACTTAAATAATAACATATTCAGACGCTATATACATTTCACGGTGTATCTGATGGGGATCAACTAATTAGAAGGATTCCATACTACTCTACAATAATCCTTGCTATTGATCTAATGAAACTCACTAAGAGAATGAGTTCGGAAAGAAAGCCATTTTTAAAAGCTGGTGCTTGCATGGTCGCGAATGCGTCATTTATCATTCCCTATTTTCACATATCAATTACTTGATGTTAAATAATACTTACAAAAATTCTAAATATTTAAAAGCAATAAAATAAGCTATTTACAAAGGACTTTGTATGACAACTTACATGTTCCGTAAGTGTCCTCCATAGCTTTGAGCCTAATCTCGGATAGGATACAGAATGATATATATCAGCAAATGGCAGTGAAGGAAACAAACCAGCTGAAAGTGAACACGACATTGATGACGGTTTGATTAGCAGATGATCACTGGTTGTTGAGTGGTCCAATCCAACTAGTGAGCGAGAATTTCGCACGCCTAAACTAGAACCAGATAACCCCTACAATAAAAAAAGGGTATAGACTTTAACGTTTATGACAATTAACATAACTATACCACTTAATAACGACTGATGTTTCACTCGTACTTGATTTACAGACAACTTTTAAATTTTAGTGTTTCATCTAGTCAATAAGCACTAATCACCTATGAAGTATGTTCTACTTTGTTTGCACCAGAGTGAAGTACCCGGGATGCCTAGTCCAAGAGTACAGATGTTCCCAACTCTCCTAATGAAAATAGGCGCGAATTTATATATATATATATATATATATATATATATATATATATATATATATATATCCAGCGTGAAACTTAGCAGCACATACTCTCAGGTGATGATTTCTTGAAAACTAAAAGCCGCAGATACTCACATTCGGTGAGTGAGTGGTCGACTTCTTTTCCACAAGCGTCTTTCAAAGATTCATTGTATATTACCCAAGTTGATTTATAGTCTGATATGTTTAGCATCTGCTTCCAACGACTAACAAATGATATATATTCCGAACACCCATGATCCTAAAGTTCACTTTGCACTACATTTATTAGAAATTGTAACGTTTTAATGAACTACTACTAGAGGGTGTTTCTTTGTGTTATGAGAATATGTGATATTTTCTGATGTACAATTTGTGCTTTGTCATTAGGTAATAATTTCAAAGCTGTTTCGATAACTGATGCTCTTGAGCTAATGATGGATTTCTGTTGATGCTGAAACTGAGGCCTTTTTGTAGTAATGAAACCTCATTTTCGGTTAGAATTTTATCCAGCATGTTCTATGTGGATTGAATCAAGAGTCCTCGTGTCATGTTTTGAAGCATATTTTAGATTATCTTGTTCCGCTGATTTGCATTCTTTTGGAAACATTGTGAAAAAAACAGATTACGAGCAGAATGAAAATCAAAACGTTTCCGAAGGTCCATACTATTTAAACGATGAAAATAAAACATCCGCGGAAATGAATGAAACGGAACTCAGCACAAATACACCATTTCAATAATGAAACTCACACTCGATAATTCCACCAGACTGAAACTCAAAAATAAGCCTTACATACCTTCAAGATTCTACAACCTACCTAAAATCCCCAAAACTTTCGTCCCATTCAGAGCGATCGTGGACTTTTCTCACACAATAACTTATAATCTCTCTAAACATGTGGCTTAGATGTCAAAACACCTCTAAACAAATTCAGAGCACACAATTAAGGACTAGGACTTTAAATTCATAATTCCAACATTAAAGTTGAGGCAGATGAAATTATGGTTACCTTTGAGATCTCAATTCACTATGTACTAGGATTCCAATTCAGGAAAGTCAAGACCTTATTTCTAACTTGTCAGATTCAGACACAAACCTGGCATAAATATGTCCACTCAATACCAGTGATATCGCGAAAGCCTTAGAATTTTGCTCAGAGAATAATTACTTCACATTCAAAAGAAAACTATGCAGGTAATCTAAGGGCATAGCTATGGGTTCACCCGTTTCGTCCATAGTAGCAAACATATTTCTGAGTAAATTTGAGGGGTGTTTAGCTAAAGTACGAAAGCCAAAAATTTAGTCAAAGCATTTTGATCACACATTAGTAGATTTAAAAAGTGGCATGTACAGTGTATTCTTAAATCAGTTGAATACTAAAATTCCCAATATAAATTTCAATTCAAAAAAAAGAAGCGGACAAGGGTGGATTACCCTTCCTTGACTGAGTAATTAAGCGGAAAGAAAATGGGCATCTAGGCATGACCACTTTCAGAAAAGCAACACATTTGAACTAATATTTAGATTTTAATTCAACACATCCCAATCAGTGCAAAGGTCTCGCTTTGTCGCCTCCAGTCTTTTAAGCAAGACACACGCTCAAATAACGGACGAAAATGAAAACTCGAATGAATTAAGGCATGTTAACAAGATCCTTAAAATGGACCATTATCCGGTGAAATTCATTCGTGAAATAGAAACTATCAAACTAGGTCAACCAAACACTCTTAAATCATAGGCCACAACAATATTCATTCCATACAGGTTACAGACGCTGGATGAGATTAAGAAAGCGGTCAAAAAGTGCAATATCAGTGCTACAGAACACACTTAACACACCTTAGATCAGCTTCCTCCATGCAAAGGACATTCCCAATCAAAGTGTGCTTTTGAAATAAAATGAGCAAACTGCGGTACACATAAGATGAACCTTACGTCAAACCAGAGTTATGAAAAATGAACACCAAAGAATTTCCCCATCTGACCCCCTAGAAATTTACCAGAGCTGAAAAAGCTTGGAAACACTTCAACCATAGCTCTATTCTCTATAATTTCAGGTTAGAAGGTTGACTTTGACTATATCGAAATTATGTACCAAAATTTCATAAGCCTTTTACCCGAATTTTCCCGTAGGAATATCTATTTTTCTTCGGTACAGTGCAGCATTTGGATACTTTGTGTACTTAATACATCCACAATAAAGGTCATAAACGTAAGCCGTTTAGGCAGTCCATAAATTTCAATAAATTCAAAACTAAATCATGCTATAAATAAATTTAGTGATAGGAGAAAAGCTAATGACTTACGCTTTCAAAAGAGCTTCGACGTCTGGATACAAATTTCCAATATTCACGTAGTTCTAGATGCATAATCCACAACGAACAACTTGTGTATGTTAATTCATCAGTATATTCAGTAAGTTTAAATAAGAATGGATCAAAGTTCTCATTTGAGTTTGAACATAATCTATTTTGAACAACTGATGCCTGAAGTTGTAAAATCAGATTGCTAGCAGCGGAAAGTGTTGATACAGCTCCTTTAAGAGATATATGTTCAGCCTACAAGAGTGATACATACAACTTGTTGAGTTTGACGTAAACATGCATAGAATTATTCTGAAAAAACTATGAAGACAATAAAAGATCTATATCATATTCGTTCTGTACGAAGAAAAGGCATCCAATGTTTACAAAGCCTTAAGGCGTTGCACCAAGAGGTCAGCTGAGTGGGCTACACATACACGATTTCTAGGGCATGAATTATACACCTTAAAACGATACATCTAATGTTAGAACGTTTATCTGATAGCAAACAGCAATAGAGTATGATTCAATGGATACCGTTTCAAGCACAATTAATTGTCCATAACTTACAAACTTTGTTTTACTGACAAGTCAAATTATAACATTAAATAGTTTACAATTTTTACGCATATTTTAATGGTTTGCTGAATGGCTGGAAAAACACAGGACTCATGAACTGATTCTTTCCTTTTATCCTGTAGCAAAATAGTCACTCAAAGTAGTGCTGATAGTTACTTTTTGTAGTGAATGTGTGACAGCAAAGATATAAGGTTTAAAGTATTGTAAATTTGTGACAGGCTTGACTGCTGAAGTCGATTTGGGGTACCTTCAATTCGATTCTTGTTGTTAGAAAAGTTAAATACCCATCAACAGAACACATATTAGGACAACCACCTCAAACAAAACGAGTCACCTCACCATGTATCTAAGATGTCTCATTAACTGTCAACTGGTTACTTCACCCTTTCGGTATCAGCGTGGCACACAAACTAAACAAATCCCTGAAAAGCATCTTTTGACAGCTGAGGGATCCATTCATCAAAGAGGACAAGACCAATACAATCAGACATAAGGTCAATACAGTACGTCGAATAACAACAGTCACTAAGATTTACATCTGATAAAAAATAAGAAAAGGTCATTCTCACCCACAAACAAATAAAACTCAATTTTGGCAAATATCCTCCATCGACATTTATGTAAATTGAAAATGCTTCATTGACATTTACCTCTCCAAAAAATTATCATTCTTATCTTGAATTTCAAATCTCTACTCTCCCGAGAAGTTAAATTGTCTGTCACTCACTAACTGCGGTTGGAGTGGCAAATGTGTAGGATAATAGTAAAATCAACCCGACTAGAGTAGGATCAAGGCAGCAAATGAGCGGTTAGTACTTTTATGACTGATAAACAGACATTTGCTGAATAATAGTACAATTGGAAGAAAATCATTATGTCCAGAAACTGATGAACACCCTGACTTTATGGTACTTATACACAGATAAGAAACGAAAATCCTAACAGCCCCAGTCTACATATTCAAAAACTATAGTAAACCCCTGTACAAAACTGATGAAAAAGTAATACACTGAATACACCCACACCACTAGTAGCCGGTTGTAATGTGACCTATTCGACTCGAAGCTTGAGTGGAAGATGGAGGACGGCAAGTAGGAAAACGACGATAGCTGTACTAGGAGTTTGTGCTAGCTAGAAATAGGTCGTGATCTGCACAAACAAGGCTGGAGTAGGTGATTCTCACTACTTGACCTGCGATTGACTTACCTCCATTGTCCATCTGAACAACCTTCCTTGGAGCCTAGGCATCTTGCCCTTTTCGTGCGAGTCCTTTGCTAGCATTACAATATCTGTCAAGCGTATCTGATATGGAAGGTCACTCAGTTGATGGTAGAAATCATCCTTAACTACATATGGGCTGCGGTCATTTTCGTGTTACGTGATACTTCTCGAAAGCCCAGACCAAAGCAGGTGTTTATCTTAAAGAAACGTACTCTAAGCGTTTGACTTGAAGTTTAGTTGAGAAGGCAATATAAAATGCTGCATTCATGTGGTTGTTGATGACCAAGGTACTTTTGTACGCCATACATCCGCTCTGGATTGTGGAGTCCATGTGACCAGTGATTTGGAATCAGGTCACCGTGTACACCAATAAGGGTGATAGCACCAGAAATTTATATATAACAATGAATAACTCACTAATAGAAAATATTATGTAAACTGACCTTTAGTGCCGCCATAGCCGAATTCATACCGCATGGTCCACCAACAGAGTTAATCAGCCCTTTTCGAAGGTGAAAAGTTTCTAGTTAAATAAATCATATAAAACGTAGATAAATATAGATATTTTGTCGACATTCATGAACTTAGTATCTGGCTCGCAAAATATCGGCGGTAATAAAAGAAACAAACTAAGTTTTTCTTAGTTTAGTCCTTTGAAGCAAGGCCTTTGTACAGATTTAAAAATGTTATGTCGTCCTTAACTAAACAAAAAAAGTAAATTTACTTAAACAGAGACATAGCTGAATGAACAACAAATCTATGTATATAAATACCCAGTTTTAGGAAGGTATAATATGACTGCACTTCTACTCCTTCAGTGTACTTAGCCCTCATTTATGATCGCCTTGTTAATTTACTGATATCAACAATCTGGTCTACGTCACTTGTTTACATTTTGAAAAACTAGTACCTTACCTGGGATCAACTATCTGAGTTTCACACAAATCAATACCCCATTTTGCAGATCTCTCCTAGAAGATATTAGTGATTTTATCATGTATAACAAAAGTCCACTGAATAGTAGAAAAGTTTACTGAGGGCAGTAAATATAGACTTTATTTTTTTTGTGTTTGCTGTTTGACAAGGTATTGGGAAGCACCAACTTTGTGTCATTTGTATGACATGTTTGTTCCAGCAAGTACCTACTAAACTACTACTTTTATTCCTCAATGTGTTTGACTGTGTTGTTGTAAGAACTCCATAAAGCGAGATGGTCAGTGCGTCCGATTAGATAATTGTACAGGAGGGTATCCTAGATTGTGATATTACTAACACTGAATATGTTAGATGTTTACACAACATTTCAGAAAGGTTAACAATCAATTCTAAAATTGTTTCCCAATAAGTCAAGGTCACGTGTTGGTAACCAATTAGAAATTTGACACACTGTCACCAGAAATCATCTTATGAGGCTGGTTAAAATGAAGTCCTGATAGTATTGCTGTAAACCATCTCTATTGACAATTATAGCGTGAATGAAGGCAAAGCATTCATCGAGTACGCAAAATATTAACTCCAGAAAATTTGATTCACTTTAGGACCTCTCAATATATCCAAGGCTCTATTAGGACCTTTTTATATCACTAATAAAACCTAGTTTGAAGCTAGATAGCAGAGCAAAAGGAAACCATAAGTAACGAAATTAACGCTAGTTGTGATTCTTAATATATTATTTTAAACGTACCAGATAAATGAAGTGACAAAGACAAAATTCAGAATATCTACGTTAAACAAAAACTAAGGTATGAATATCACAATATGCTTACGTCGTTTGATGGAGCGCAACTTAGCTTCAATCTCCTTCAGATCCAACTCGACATCTAAAAGTAGCATGTTATACAGTAAGAAAGTTTTCATCGTATGTCATATCACATAGCATCAAAATCACCAACCTTTAAGTGTACGTGCTGGGTCATGAAGGAAGCTCATTGGGAGTACTACGGTTGTAATATCATTCCACAAATTTTCAATCTCTTGAAGTCGATTATAGACGTCAAAATCATGAGAAACCTTCGCCGACTCGACAGACTGGATGACCAAAGGATTAGATCTCATGATGGTCATTTCCAAAAGTTTGTTGCCAAGAGAACGTAGACGACTGAGGTCAACATCTCGATTTTTGATGTACCCAAAGTAGTTCTGGGGAAAAAAGTTACCGACAATAACATCAGATCAGATATGATATATTTTTTACCAATGCCATTGGTTCACAATGCTTACTTGAGGTAACATCAAGAAGGAACTTAAAAGATAAATAGCTTCAACAATGCACATTATTCTCCGTTCCTTAAACGGATTACCAAGTGGTGGCAAGGAGACTGAAAACAAATATTACTAGCTTGTAATTAATAAACCCTAAGTTGATAACTCTGTAGCTAAGCGCAACAGAATCTAATTACTTACATGCAACAGGAATAATAGATATTTGTTGTTTTCATTATTCTTAAAGATAAATACTGTTCAGAAACTACCCAATCTGACGACAGAATAAAACAAGAAAACTACACACTGACAGAGCTAGAAAACGCAACATTGAGACTACAATAACCAAGAGTTCTTGGTGAATTTTGTGGACAAAACACTAACAAGTTTTCAGATTATGTTGATCATGATAGGCAAGTTTAAATATACAAAGGAAAAACAAAACACCATCAAACCACAAACAAAACCTCACCGACCTAAGATACCAAAATTAAAGATCCTTAGTAAGATAGGAGGAACAAAAACGTCATGAATCAACTCAGCGATCTTCAAATAAGAGACCAATTCCTACAAAGTTGAAGATAAACCCTTATCTTGATCAGTACGTTCACTACAAACTCCGAAAAGAAATGATGACATCAATAGCGCAAACCACTAGTTGTGGCGACATCAGATGGTAGCTATCTACAAGTCCTTATGCAAAAACGTTTCGTAACCCAACACGTACTTATAACATTTCCTTCACAAACAATTCAATTAGGACCAACGGAACCAAACATGATCTACAAGCCAAACACCATGGTCAAAGTCAGAAGACTGTTCCCATATATGGGTCTCAGAGACTGATGAAAAACAAATATTGAGACAACACACGTTACCCCCAGCCCGATATAACTCTAAAATACCAGCGCAAACTAACTCTGCTAGATCGTGATCAGAAAATACTCCAGCTGAAAAATAACCACGTACTTCTCATTTATATGCTTCACTTTCAAATAATCGAAAACGGTTTCGAATACTAATCTACTCGTCGCAATTAAGGCTAGATACTAGCCATTTTTGTCGGCTACGCATCATGTCATCATAATCATCATTATCAACATAGGACCAGGCATTACTGCGTAACGGTCCGAGTTGCCACACCTCACGTCAGCTCATCAAGTAAAAAGGTAGTGAGGTGAAGGATGAAGATAAGTGAATGCAGTCAAAAGAAATATAAAGTACGAGAAGAAAGGAAAGAGGAGTGACAAAATAGTGAGATTCGGTATAGCGTTGTTAAGATGAGGATAATGTGTGTATACATCTGCGCCACTGACTTCGGTTCTGAGCCATATCACCTAGGGTCTCCAACCACTGGTTCCTCTTGTCCCGTGGACCCCAACCACCTAGTCTGCATCGTCCTACATGGCTTAAACCAACAGTCAGAGACTTCATACATTGGTGCCATGTTTTAGTCTGGCCACCTCGGGCCTTTTTCCAGCCTGGACCCACCTCAGCCAACATTGTGTGACGAGGCAATCGGTGACTAGGCATACGTAGTACGTGTCCCAACCATCTCAGTCGATGAAGGTTCACAACCTCGTCGACTGACTTACCTCTTCTCCCTAAAACTCTACACCTAACTTCTGCATTACTCACATGGTGACACCACGGAATACGTCCTATACTACGAAGGCAACGGTGGTCAAACACCTGAAGCCTTTCATGTCTTCCACTTTCAATGGCCATGTTTCACAGCCATACAGTAGAACAGAGCGGACTGCTGTGCAGTACACGCGACCCTTAATAGACAAACGAATATCACGGCGGCGCCATAGGTGGCGCAAATTGGCAAAAGCCAATCGAGCCTTTTGTATCCGTGCAGAAATCTCATCGGCAACTAACCCACCAGTTGATCCTACTTCCCAGGTAAGTGAAGTGGTCAACACACTCAACCACTTCACTCTCTATTGTTAACCGCGGTACCGCTGAAGACCAGTCCTGGAGCAAAAATTTGCATTTGGGTGGTGAAAATCGCATCCCAAACATTCTCAAATTCCCACTCAAAGTGTTCAGAAGACTCTGCATCTTGTCAGCGTCTTCACCTAACAGGACTATGTCATCTGCATATTCTAGATCTAAGGAAAATTCACCTGTGATTCGGTCAACGTCTGTGTAATTAGGTGACGAGAGGGAAACCTCCATAAGAATATCTATGATAAAATTAAATAAGAATGGGGATAGTGGGCATCCTTGACGGACACCACTTGATGAGTATAGCTCCCTGGACAACTCACCATAGGCTCTAACATGCCCACAAGTGTTCGAGTAGAGAGCTTTCAATAAGGTGATGTACTTACTAGGCACGCCTTTCAGTGACAGACACTGCCATAAGACTTCTCGATCAACGGAGTCAAATGCCGCCTTCAGGTCGAGAAATACAGCTATTGTCGGGCGTCTGTAAGCATGCCTATGTTCCAGGACCTGGCGCAGTGTGAATATTTGGTCGATACATCCACGGCCAGGTCTAAAGCCTGCCTGGTTTTCTCGGGCTTGCTGTTCCCGAGCTCCACTCAGGCGTCGGAGAATTATAGAACTTAGGATCTTAGACACTATGTTTGTCAGGCTGATTCCTCTGTGGTTATCACAAGAGGACTTCTCGCCTTTCTTGAAGACTGGGATGATCAGTGACTTAGACCAGTCGGAGGGGATCGTATTTGATTCCCATATACTGGCTAACACTTCCGTTAGCCTGACTAAGAGAACTCTACCACCATTCTTGTATACCTCAGCAGGTAGTCCGTCTGGTCCTGCTGCCCTTCCCGTTTCAGGCTACCTACCGCTTTCTCAACTTCTTCTAGTGTTGGGGGGCCTGTCTCTATGTCCCATTCAGGGTCCGACTGGATAGCGGGCAGCGCAATGGTGGCTGGAGGCCAGTTAAACTGTTCCTCAAAGTGTTCTGCCCATCGTTCCAGTCGTCTTCCCTGCGAGTGAATCGCAGATCCGTCCTTCTCCGCTATAACCTCACTAACTGTTGTTGACCATTTCCCCCCAGTCTCCTTAATAAGTCTAAATAACTGTCTACTGTTACCGATCGCCGCTGCCTTTTCCATCTCTTTAGCCTTTGCTGCCCACCACTGTTCACGATCGTTGCGCAGACTTTTCGTCAGTCTATTTTTAAGTTGCGCTCGCTCTTCATTGTACTCAGAGCCTGCAGGGATGCATTCACGTGCATCCATTAGTTTGGAAGAAGCTGCTGATATCCACTGGCTCTTTTTAGCCATTATCTTGGAGTCGGCTACAGTCTCCAGTGCTGCTTTTACAGCAGACTGAAGATGGCACCAAGCTTCTTCTGGATGAGTGATACTCTTTTGTTCCGATAACTGCCTAGCCAACTTCTCACTGAACACGGCTTTGGTGTTTTCGTTGTCCAGCAGAACTCGTAGTGGTTTTGTTGCCAAATTTTTTCTACGTCCATTGAGACGCAGGCATATACGTGCTCGGACCAACGCATGATCGCTGTCCAAACACGTACTCCAGAAGGAGCGGCAGTCTTCCACCGATCCTCTCCAGCGATGACTAATAGCAATGTGGTCTATCTGTGTCCATCGCTGAGTCGAGCTCGGTGGACGCCAGGTCAGACAGTGCCTTTCTTTATGTCTGAAATTTGTGCTGGCTAAAAATAGGCGGTTATCTGAGCATAGTTGTAATAGGCGATCACCGTTATCTGTACGTTCAGCTGGGATTCCGAAAGTGCCACCTAAGTGCCTTTCTGCCTCACTCAGTCTACCCACCTGTGCGTTGAGGTCACCTGCAACAACCACTACGTCCGAACGTTTGGCTTTCGAGAGGAGGTTAGACAGTTTATGGTAGAACTCGTCCTTCACTTCATCCGAGCTACAGTCAGTGGGTGCGTAAGCAGAGATTACAAAGAGACAACGGCGAGTCTCACTATTCCTTTTAGTTCTCACTGTGCCGTTCAGCCTCATAGCGCAGAGGCGACTATCAACTGGGATCCAGTCTAGTAGTGAGTTTTCTGCCCTGGTGCTTAATGCTATACCTACACCTGCAAGACCACGAGAGCTAGCTATCGAATCTCCAGAAACTCGAAGGGTGAATTTTGCGGATTCACCAGATTGGTCAGGTGAATAACCACACTTGGGTCCTGTATGCGTGTCTCACAAACACAGCACACATCCATGCCTCGAGTTGCTAGAGTCTTTGCCAACGAAGCCTGTTGGCCAATTTGACGGAGGGTGCGGACATTGAAGGCTCCAATATGTAATTTGGAGCGTGGTTTAAGGAGACCAGGGATGCTGTTCTGTGGACTCAGATCGTTGTCGAAGGCTGCAGAGGTAGGAGAAATTGAAGATGATGCAGCATCATTAATTAAGAGACGTGAAGGAAGATTAGAAGGTAATGATGGAGGAGGAGGATAGCAGTCAGAAGAAACTTGGGTGCTGACAGAGTTGTGAGGGCGGTTGACACTTCCCGGCTGCCCACACCGTGGAAGGCTATTTCTTCTTAAGGTACCTGAAAGAGATTTGTGTGACCGCAGAGCCCATCGGACATCTGCTTGAGGCCTGTCACACCCAGCCTTTTGAGTATGATTATTTTGAACTTTTGTATTTTTGGGGCCGGATGGTCGAAAGGAAACGACAAGTGAACCAACACCGCCGACCCGGCGGTTGGGTCATTGTGATATGCCATCCCGACCACCACGTCAAGGTAGCAGCTATCGGTTGATCCACTCAACCAGCTGTTGATTCATAAATCTACCGGATAGTTTTCACAGTACTGGATTGAAGGTTAGTTTAGCAAATTGTCCGCTGGAGTTTCTGCCATCACCATCGTATGGTGAAATAGACAATAAAATGTACTTCATGCGTCCCGACCGATAGCTGCTACCTTGACGTGGTGGTCGGGCTTGCATATCACAATGACCCAACGAGCTATGC